TAGCCCAAGAGACAGAAAGGGCCACATAAACCAGAGACTTCGTCAGTCTGAGACCAAAAGAACTAGATGGTGCCCGGCTACCACCAATGACCGCCCTGACAGGGAACACAACAGAGAGTCCTGGATGGAGCAGGAGAAAGGGGGGATGCAGAACTCAAATTCTAGTAAGAAGACCAGACTTAATGGTCTGACTGAGACTTGAGGAACCCTGGAAAGCATGGCCCCTGGATTCTCTATCAGCCCAAAACTAAAACAAATTCCGCGGCCAACTCTTCAGACAGGGATTGGACTGGACTGTGGGACATAAAGTGATACTCGTGGGGAGTGTGCCTCTAGGCTCAAGTAGATACAAGAGACAAAACAGGCAGCTTCTGTCCGGAGGTGAAATGGGAAGGCAGAGAGGGTTAGGAGCTGGTTGAATGGACATGGGGAATCAGGGGTGGAAAGGAGGAGTGTGCTGTCACAGTATGGGGAGAGCAATTAGAGTCACATAACAATGTATGTATAAATTTTTGTATGGGAAAAAATAAACAAATAAAGTAGGTAGCTGGCAAAGTACCCAAAGATTGTGACTTGACCCCAATAATAATAATGATAATGAATGCACTGTGTGCACTTACTACTCAGCAGGAACTCCTCCAAGCACTTGACATATATTGACTAATATGATCCCCCACCATGGCTGCAAGATGCGTTCTTTATTGTGCCTTTTTTAGAGGCGAGGAAGCAGAAGCACAGAGAAGTTTATGGCTCAAGACCATAAAGCTAGTCAAGTGATAGAGGTGGGTTTCCAATCTAGATGGCCTGGCTTCACTGCAATGCACTGATTTCTCTTGCAGATAGAAATAATTGCAGCAGCCTCAGCTAGGGAGGTGCTTTGTCGCCTGTGTTTTTGCTCAGCACTGTTAGGCCTCCCCCTGGAGCCCGCCTGGGTTGGGATGGAGGGTAGACATCAATCAACCTCCCTCCCTCAGGTTCTGATTCAGACAGGGCTGGAAACAGAGCGCTGGCAGGGGCCAGAAAAGGTTTAGGGAGCCCCAAGTGCATCTGCTTCAGTGGGGGAGCTGAGCATGGATACCACTTTCCACCCTGCTCTCATCTCGAGGAGGACCCTGTGAAGAGATGACCCCATGGCCAAGCAAACAGGAGGTGGGGAGTCAGACAGACTTCCTCTCTCCAGGCACGACCTTGAGAGACAGGAGAAAATAAAACAACCTTACAAGACAACTGTGAGCATTTATTTTGATTGTGAGCATCGAGGAAATAATATGAGCGAAGTGCCTAGTGCTGGGCATAACACACAGTTGTTGTTAGTTGCCATCAAGTTGATTCTGACCCATGTGACCCCCTGTGTGCAGAGCAGAACTGCTCCACAGAGTTTTCAAGGCTGTGACCTTTCAGAAGCAGATTGCCAGGCCTGTCTTCTGAGGCACCACTGGGTTGGTTCAAACCATCAGCCTTTCGGCTAGTAGTCAAGTAAGCACGTTTGCTCCACCCAGCCGCCCTAACACATAGTAGGCAATCAAAAATAATGTCTGTTATTGTTGCTGTCGTTCTTATCATTGTTTAGAGCACTGGGTCCAGAGTACATTGCAATCACCCCAGGGGTATAGAAAGACAATATAAGACTTCTACTTATATTTATTTTTAATCTCATCCCTTCCTAATTTGGAGCTCAGCTGCTAATGAAAAGGTAGGCAGTTGGAATTCACCAGCTGCTCCTTGGAAACCCTATGGGGCAGTTCTACTCTGTCCTATATGGTCGCTATGAGTCAGAATCAACTCGACTGCAATGAGTCTTTTGGTTTGGTTCCTGATTTACCTTTGTATGTATAATACTACATATAGAATAAATAAATATACGTATATTGGGGAAAAAAACATAATACAAAGCTACAATATTTAAAACCATGTGATATGAGTACAAGACTATGGGGTGACGTAGCACAGTAACAGATGCTGGTAAATTAAAGAATGTACTGTTATGTGAGGAGCCCTGGAGGCACAGTGGTTAAAGCACTCAGCTGCTAACCAAAAGGTTCAGTGATTTGAACCCACCAGCCACTCTGTGGGAAAATGATGTGGCAGTCTGCTTCCATAAAGGTTTATAGCCTTGGAAACGCTATGGGACAGTTCTACTCTGTCCTATAGGGTTGCTATGAGTCGGAATTGACTTGATGGCAGTGGTTTTTTGCAGGTTTAGGTTTGGGTTTTAATATTCTATGATAAAAGAAACAATGAAACTAATGGGAAAAACCTGTTATTTAGTGTGCAGCAAATCTATTAGTATAGATTCTCACCCCTTATCAGCTGCTGTAAAACTCAGTTACATTATACAGAAAATAGAAAAGAGTAGAAAACACTGAAAAATAAAAGAAGAAAGTTTAGGTGAGTACTTATCTGATTTCTGGATAAGAATGTTCCAAGCATAAAAGAAACAGAAGAACTCATAAGGGAAAAATGTTAAATTTCACTGCATACAAATTTAAACTTCTTTACATCAAACAATTATAATCAATAATAAAGGCAAACAACAAACTAAGAAAAAAATTTATCACAGGTTATCACAATTGGGCAAAAGACAAGAAGAGACAATCTGCAGAAGATACAACCAACCATTAAGAGTATAAAAAGTGTGTAGCTCCTTCTGATAACTGTGAATATTTTTCTTAGATATTATGCCAAAATTTCATGTGATTGTCTCTTAAAATTTAGTTGCAGTGAGGAATTTGAAGACATGTCAATACATATTTTGTATTCTGTTACATTAAAATCCATTGGTCTATCTTGCAAAAAAAAAAAGAGTATAAAAAGTGTTCAGTCTCACTAATAATCAAAGAATATAAAATAAAATACCATTTTCCCATAAACTTGCAAACATGACAAATGTATAAAAAATTAATGCTAGCACAGCTGTGGTAAGAAGGAGCCTCTTGTGCACCACCAGTAAATGTAGCTTGATGCGATCTTTGTAAAAGACATTCTGGGCTTACATATCATGAACTTTTACTTAGCAATTCCACTTCTCCGGATTTGTCCCAAAGTAATACTAGAAGAGGGCCAGTGGTGGTCCAGTGGTAGAATTCTTACCTTCCATGCAGGAGACCCGGATTTGATTCCCGGCCAGCGCACCCTAGCGCTGCCATCACCCACCTGTCACTGGAGGCTTCTGTGTTGCTATAATGCTGAGCAAGTTTCAGAGGAGCTTCCAGGCTAAGACAGACTAGGAAGAAAAGCCTGGCAATCTACTTTTGAAAATCAGCCAATGAAAACTCTATAGGTGTCTGCCTTGAGCATTATGCTGTTTTCAGACCTGTCTGTGTGGGATCAAACTGACAACAGCAACTCAAAAGATTAGATAGGAACCTTAGGAGGCACTGAGTTTATGTGAATGGGGGAGAAACAACTCAGAATGGGAGGGTTGTGGTTGTACAACTCAAAGAGTATGATCAGTGTCGCTGAAATGTATGTGTAGAAACTTGAATTGGTGTATGTTTTTGCTGTGTATATTCTCAACAACAAAATAAAATAAATTATTTAAAGAAAGAAAACCCTGTGGGTCACAACTGTCCCATCTTGTGCATGGGGTCACCATGAGTTCTGATAGCAGCTAAAAACGATATGCAAAGACGCACACAAAATTTCTGTACAAATATGTTAATTAATCAGTATATACAATAGTGAAAAATAAGATAGAAATTAAATATCCAACAACCAAACCCGTTGCCATCGAGTCAATTCCAAGTCATAGCGACAGTATAGGACAGACTAGAATTGCCCCATAGGTTTTCCAAGGAAGGCCTGGTGGATTTTAACTGCTGACCTTTTGGTTAGCAGCCATAGCTCTCAACCACTACACCACCAGGGTTTCCTGTCCAACAACAGACGTGTTTAATATAGTCCATTCTTATAATGGAATATTACTTAGCCATTAAAATGTATTCCAAAGAGTGTTTAAATTTATAATATAATTCAGAAAAGTAAGTTACAAAGGTGTACATCCACGTATGATCCTAATTTTTGTATAAAAACATATGTACAGAAAAAACAGAAGGAAGTATGGCAATGATTATTTCCAGAATATGGGATTACACATGATTTTTGTTTTCATCCTTTCATTTTATTATATACCCAGGTTTTTTATAATGAACATGTACTACTTTTATTATTAATTACCAATCAATTGTATAAATCATATAAAATGGGTACTATATAGATACAAAAACATATAACAAATATATAAATCTATATTTCTAATATTATAAAATAATACTGATTATTTGATTATTACTTTTGTTTTTTGTTTTGTTTTGTTTGTCTTTATTGAAGAGTTAGACCAGATGATCTCTGAGGTCCTTTTGCATTCTGACATTATAATGGTTCCAGAAGACAGGTTCAGACAGGAAAATAACAGTGGCATAAATAATTGCTTCTCTGCAAAGAGGTAAATGTGAATCACCCAGTCAGCAGGCTGAGCACTTTCTTGGGGCACCAGCAAAGTTGGAGGACTGAAAAATAATGTTTGAAAGAAGTTGATGATAACTGAGATTTCAATAAACATCAAAGTAGTCAGTCATCATGGGGAAATTAAGGGTTTGTTAAACTTTGACAATCATTTTGTGGTTTATTATTGTTTTTATCTTGAATCATCTATCTTTTTAAGGCTTAGGATTTCTAAAGGATACTTTCAGATCCTGGATGCTCTGGGAATTTGTTGCTAGGACCAGTCTTGTGTAATTTTTATACCTCGTGTTTTAAGTGACCCTGAAGAGAATGCATTTGGTGAAAGAGCTCCAGGGGCACTCTGGGAGGAGGTCAGTGTGGCCTGCTCAGCTCCTCCCCATTCCCACCCCCACAGGATTCTCAGTCCTTCAAGTCACAGCCACGGATGAGGACAGTGGCCTCAATGGGGAACTGGTCTACCGAATAGAAGCAGGGGCTCAGGACCGCTTCCTTATCCACCCAGTCACCGGGGTCATCCGTGTCAGCAATGTCACCATTGACAGGGAGGAGCAGGAATCCTACAGGCTGACAGTGGTGGCCACCGACAGGGGCACGGTCCCTCTCTCGGGCACGGCCATCATCACCATCCTCATCAACGACATCAATGACTCCCGCCCCGAGTTCCTCAACCCCATCCAGACGGTGAGCGTGCTGGAGTCGGCTGAGCCAGGCACTGTCATTGCCAACATCACCGCCATCGACCGTGACCTCAACCCAAAGTTAGAGTACCACATCATCGGCATTGTGGCCAAGGACGACACTGACCGCCTGGTGCCTGACCAGGAGGACGCCTTTGCCGTGAATATCAACACAGGTACAAGGGCTGGCTCCCTCCTACCCCTCACTCCTGACTCCCTGTCCCAGTCCCCTTGCTCTCTGCTTTCTTTCTTACTCTTTCTTTCTCTGCTTCTCTCTTTTGCTTGACTGCTCCTCTTTCTCCTCTCTTCTCTTCACTATTGACACCATAGCCTTCCTCTCTTTGCCCCTCTCCCCTTGCTCCTTCCCTCTCTGCTTTCTCTTCTTTCTCCTCCCTTGACCAGCTCCTTCTCTCCTCGCTGATTCTCTCCATCCACCAGTGTTGTATGAGAGTGCCCATTATTGTGAGCGTTAAGTATTATACATTTTTCATGTTTGTAATTTTATGGGAAAATGGTACCTGGTTTTATTATGCATTTCTTTAACAACTAAATGATTGAATCCTTTTTTCATATGCAAACTTGCCATTTAAATCATCTGTAAGTCATATTTGTACCCTTAATGACTTTCTTACACTGTCATGAAACAGAGAACGGTGACTTATCTTTCACAACGTATACAACTGATTTCATGAAATTGTGATGGTTTTATCTTTTACCATCAATGTTTTTGCTCCTCTGGGGAATTAGGGAGGGGACATGGGACCTTATAGGAGTACTTCTTGGGAGGCCTAGGAGTGACAGGAAAACTAACATGGCTATGACAAAGTGCTTAAAATTATTGGTAATCAGAGAAATGCATAGTAAAACAGCAATGAAATGTCAGTTTTCCTTATGTAATTAGCAGACATTAGATTGCTGGACAATGTTGAGTATTGGTAACAATGTGGGGACATTGGTATCCTCGTACATGACTGACTCCACCATCTGGACAGCAGTCTAGCACAAAGTGCACTCATGCTGTATGACCCAGCAATTATGCTCCTGGTTCCCAAAGAAATTCTCAGGTCAATAATGGGACTTTACAAAGATGTTCACTGCAGTATTATTGGTGGTGGTAAATTGGGGGCCACCCAGGTGCCCATCCTAGGATATTGAAGAGTAAAATGTGGTGGGTGCACACCATGGAGTACCAGGCAGCAGTTAGAAACAATAGATTAAATGTACACAGAGCAATGTGAGTGATCTTAGATGGTGAGGACTTCATGAAAAATAGGATGCGAGACATACCACAATACCATTTGCATAAATGTAAAATATACACACACAAAACCATACACAATTTGTAGGAACACTTTCAAATAAAAAATACACTTCAATACATTAGGATGGTTTTTAATGCAATGGTTTTTAAGAGGGGAGAAGGGAAGAGGAGAGGTGTATGAAAGGGAATAAGTACATACATAAAACAAGAGAAGCACCAATGATCAAAGTGTGCAGTGAACCAAAGAGTATGATTAACTCAATCTGTGCCTGAGGCCCAAAGGAAAAATTAGGAAAGAAAAGCTATGAGTACTAGGAGTAGATAGAATCAACCATGTCCCAGGTTAGAAACATTCCTAGGCTGCATTGGTTGTTCAGGACCTTGGAGAGCTGCTCCACGCCCTTAGAACTTTATGCTATACTGATGCCTCTTCCACTTTCCTCTTTTCCCTCCCTCCAACTGACTTCTCTCTATTTTTCTTTCCAGTGTCTTCTCTGCCCCCTCTTTCTCACTCTCTCCCCACCTCCCTTGCTCACCTTCCCTCCCTTTTCTTCTTGCCAGAGCCTCAGCCTCCTGTTTTCTCTGCTCTGACTGGGCCCCCACTTGCTCCCCTGGCTGCCTTCCCCCTCTGCTTCCCCCCATCCACCACCTCCTGGCTCTCCCCTCTCCCTCCCGTACTCCTACCCTGGTCAGCTCTGAGCCCCCACCTTCCCAAGCCCTGCCCTGCTCCATCCCCACTGCACCCTGAACTAACTGATGTTAACCCTCTTCTCTCTTCCTCACGGCTGGCAGGCCTGCAGGTTTGAACTCTGTTTCTCTGTCACTTCCCACCTCATCTCCTGTCTGCTTCACCCCATTCCCTTCCTCCATGCCCACCACACCCCCGCCACCCCATCTGTCCTGTGGGGCCCGGGCCAGGCCGTGGCCAAGCCTTTGCAGACTGAATGCAGCTGCCCTCTCCCCATCCTCGCTCCCCAGCCTGGGGGACAGGGAGCGAGAGTAGGAAGAGGAGGAGGAGGCAGCGGCCCAGGGTAAGTGACCACCCCGTGGCTGGGGACCCGCGGAGGACAGAAGCCCAGGAGGGGGCTCTGCCGAGGGGGAATCCCAGAGGCCCCGGTGCCTGAAAGGGAGCTGGAAAGGGAAAGAGGAGGTTTCATTCTAGGATGGGGCCACTGCAAGGAGCTTCCAGGCTCTCCAACAGGCAGGAAGAGAGGTCCTAGCAGAGCCAGCCCTGGGATCAACCAAACTAGGTGTGTCCACTCCAAGCCCCAAGCTTCTGGAAGGCCCCTCTCTGCTTCTGGGGGGTAGGCTGGGACTCTAGGAGGCAGCATATAGGAGAGAAGGAAACAGCTCCTTGCTGGTACAAAAACAAAACCCGATACACCTTTCCTGTGTCACTCTCCACTTAACCAAGACCAAGGGGTAGGCTGGCGGTATCTGGCGTATTCCTCCACTGCCTGCTCCAGGGGCTTCCCCCACCCAGGGCTTTTCAGCTACCCATGACCTTCTTTTGTACTTGATCTCCCCTGAGCACAAGCAATTATTAAGCAAGTAGTTACACAGAGCTTACTGTGTGCCAGGCGCTGTTGTAATCACTTTACAAATGTAAACTCATTTGATGTTTCTAATCCTCATTTAATGTGGTACATACTGTAATCATTCCTATGTTACAAATGAGGAAATGGAGGTTAAATAACTTGCCCAAGGTCACCCACTTGGTAAGCGTTGAGTAAGGGGCAATGATGTGCCCCCAGCTTGCAGGTGACTGTGAGACCATCTGAGCCAAAGATGAGACCAGCAAGTCCTGGGGCCCACTAGGGACCATTGTCCTCTAAGGGGATTGGGAGGGTAGCCAGGAGCACCCTCTGGGAGGCCCAGCTTTTAGGTCGTTCCCCTCGGGTTGAACCTCACCTGGTCTGTCAACAGGCTCTGTAATGGTGAAGTCCCCCCTGAACCGGGAGCTGGTTGCCACCTATGAAGTCACTCTCTCAGTGATTGACAATGCCAGCGACCTACCAGAGCATGCTGTCAGTGTGCCAAATGGTAAGGTTTCCCCTGCAGGCATCTCCCATTGGTTACTCAGAGCAAATCAGGGTAGGGGGGTGGGCCAGAGGCAGGCACTGGCTGGGCCCCTGGGGGGGGCGCAACAGGACACAGGTGCGGGTGCAGGGGTACCAGGAGTCGGGCAATGCTAGGGGCATGGAGGACTGGCAAGTTACAGTGAGGCTCAGGATGGCCATGTGTCCCAGCTGTTATGTGTGCTCAGTAGTAAGGGAATCCAGAACCCCAGAATTGTGTGTGGTCTGAACCCCATGGCTTAGAGATAGGAAGGAGGCTTGGTAGAGCCTGGAAGGGGATTGAGAAAACGATGGGTCAACAGAGACTTAGGTCAGAATGAAGTTGTCATACTGAGTAAAGAGGGTATTGGCTGGGATGTGAGACAGGAACCTTGTGATCTGATGGGAAGCCATAAGGTCAGGCACAGAGGACGGGAAGAGCAAAGAAAGGTGGCTTGAGGCCACAGACACAGCACGGAGTAGGGGGCGGGTTGCTCAGGCTTCATGGTAGAGAAGAGAGGGGCACAGTGCTGCTCTCTGCGGGAACAGGCCATCCTGTCTGCAGCCTGAGGCATGGGCAGGGGGGCTGCTAGAGGTATGGATTCTGTCTAGGCTGAGCAAGGGTGGGGGTGGGGATGGGGTGGCCTTAAGTGGCCTCTGCCATGAGGCTGCTGGGGTGGGGAGCCAGCCTGGCAGATAGTGGCCACTTATCTTCACCACCCAGAGGCCCAAGTTTTCAGGAAGGAAGGGCAGACTTAGTCATCCCCTACATGTCCCAAGCTCAAAAGGGCAAAGGGCCAAGGCTGGCTATGTAGAGGGGGTGACTTAGATGGGAAACAGAGGCTGAGTCATGGGGGAGGTTCTTAATGACCATCTAGTCCTACCTCATTGAACAGGTGAGGAAACTGAGGCCCAGTGAGGGCCAGGGGCTCACCAAGGTCACTCAGCCAGTTGGTAGAACCAGGCCCCTTCCTTTTATGGAAGAGTGAGTGACCAGAACCAGAGGGAGGGGTCTCATGCCACAGCCTGAGTGATGGCTTAAGCTTCAGGGAGTCCCAGGAGGGCTGTGAGTTGTGCCGTCCTCTCCTGGCTTGGCTGAGGCTTAGCAACGCCTGAGCCAGCCATACTGGAGCCCCCTCATCTTGCCTTCCCCCGGCCTTCACCCCAGCCAAGCTGACGGTCAACATCCTGGATGTCAACGACAATACACCCCAGTTCAAGCCCTTCGGGATCACCTACTACACAGAGCGGGTCCTGGAGGGGGCCACCCCAGGCACCACACTCATCGCTGTGGCCGCCGTGGATCCCGACAAGGGCCTCAATGGCCTGATCACCTACACCCTGCTGGACCTCGTGCCCCCAGGCTATGTCCAACTGGAAGACTCCTCCGCAGGTAGGTTGGAAATCCTGCTTCTCACCCTCCTGTTGGGCCCCACCTGGCCCTTCAGTGGGCTAGGCCAGATCCAAGATGGCCAATATCCCACTCACTCCCAGATGCCCACACTAGAGGAGAGGACAGTGTGCCTAGTCCTGGGTGGGGATGGAAACCCCCTTGAGGTCTGCTGGAAACCTGGCATACTCCACCACCATCTCCGTCACCCAAGCTCCTACTAGTAGCATCACTTATGGAGCAGAGGAGGTTCACCCCATTGGTTTGTGAGTAGGCGTTTCACCGCCCACCCCCAGTAAGGAGAACCACTGGACACCAGTCCCTCTCAGCCCTCTGGCCTCGCACTGGACAGTGCTGCCAGCCACTCTTCTTCTTAAAGGGACCACACTTGCCCCTCAGAGCTCCAGGTCCTTCTCTTTATACTATGGAGAGCTGCCCACGAGTGAGGAGTGGCTAAAATGGCAGTGGGTGCTTCTGTGTCTCAGGAAAGGTCATTGCCAACCGGACAGTGGACTATGAAGAGGTGCACTGGCTCAACTTTACTGTGAGGGCCTCAGACAATGGGTCCCCACCCCGGGCAGCTGAGATCCCTGTCTACCTGGAGATTGTGGACATCAATGACAACAACCCCATCTTTGACCATCCCTCCTACCAGGTGGGTGGCCAGGCCAACACCTCGGTCCAGGACCTGTGCCTGTTTATTGGGGCCTTTGAGCATGTTCCACTCCCATCCTGCCAGCCTCTAAGGCCTCTGGGAGTAACCATCCCATGAACAGCTTGGTCCCCTGGGCTTTCTGCGTCACTGAGCTCCTAGCACAGGGGCAGGGGCAGAGGCTGTAGAACTGACCTTGGCCTTCTCTCTCCCTGCTCACTGAACTCCAGGAAGCCGTCTTTGAGGATGTGCCTGTGGGCACAGTCATCCTGACGGTCTCCGCTACTGACGCCGACTCAGGCAACTTTGCCCTCATCGAGTACAGCCTCGTGGATGGAGAGGGCAAGTTTGCCCTCAACCCCACCACGGTAAAGGCGGGTAGAGGGCCTAGGCTTGGGGGGAGTGGGAAGGGTCCAGGTCATAGATAGAAAAGCCACCAAAGGTCATTGCAGCCATCCCCCTGTTTCTGGGTCCTGCCACCTGGACATCTGCAGCCTCAGAGGTTCTTTAGCCAAGTCAGCAAACGCTATTCTTAGAGCTCCAGACATCCATAGACTGAGGCCTTTCTACCCCAGCAGACATGGAAGGAAGTGGCCAGAGTCTTTTGGAACTAGGCCTTTGTAGGCACAAAGATTTCTAAGTGTCCCCACCAGACTAAAGAACTTGATTCAGGTCCACGAATCTGCTTTTTGAGACTGTCAAAGGAGAGGCATGGAAAGCTGTGCAGAATGCAGCCACAGTGTTTGAGCACCTACTGTATGCATAGCCATATAGTCAGTGCTGGGGTAGGGAAGAGGCCCACAGGGTGCATCCCTCCTCCCCTTGCTTCTGTGAGTTCCGGGCTTGTAGGAAAGTAGAAATTCAGGAGAAAAGCTGAGTGAGGATTTCAAACGTCTGCTTGTTCGTTCAAAGTTACTGTTTCCAGTACAGGGAGAGGGGCCTGTGGCCTGGGCATGGTTGGGCAGGCAGGACCTTCCCAGGTTGCTGGGGCTGGAACTGGGCTCCCTGCCCACATCCCCTTGCACTCTGCCCTTTCTGCAGAGTTTGATCCTTCCTGCTTGGTCTAAGCAATCAGACATGGCTCCTGGCCTGCTGCTAAGAACAAGGAATATTTGTGGAGCACCTACTGTATGCTAGGCCCTGGCCTGGCAGTGAGTGCCAGCCTGGGCTGTCATGCCATCTCCAGGTGGATTAGGGTAGTGAGAACAAGAAGAGCCTCTAGAATGTAAGTTCCCTGGAGGCAGGGGTTGTTTTCTCTCTGTTCACACTGTATCTCCAGAGCCTAGAACAGTGCCTGGCACATAGGAAATGCTCAATAAATATCTGTTGAATGAATGAAGGGCCTGAAGCCATCCTCCTCCTTTAGGGCGACATTTATGTGCTGTCCTCGCTGGACCGGGAGAAGAAGGACCACTATATCCTGACTGCCTTGGCCAAAGACAATCCTGGTGATGTAGCCAGCAACCGTCGAGAAAACTCCGTACAGGTGAGAGGCGCTGGCCTGGGCCAGGGACACTATGGATTGGGTTTCTGGAGGCAGCAAGCAAAACCTTTAGAGAATGACTGCTGCAGAGTCGGAGCAGAGCCACCCAGTCCCCTCAGAGACATAGGCAGGAAGGAGGAGGCAAGAGGTTAGCTGAGTGGGTTACAATCACTGTGGCTCAAGAAGACAGGGACTCTCTGGGAGAAATCTCTTGTGCCAAACCCCTACTAAGGCAGCTAAACATACCTGGGTATAACCCAAATAAAGCCTGGGGCTCCACATGGCTCAGTGTCTCCACAGTGTCATATTGAAAGAAACACAGTCCAGCATCTAAACATAATTATAAAGTAATTATCTTTATTTATATCTCTTAAAGAACATTAATGAGGGCTCGATTCACAGCCCCATTTCCATGCCAGCCTTGAGATTTTGCTTTCTCTTTATTTCTCCTCCCACCCCCTCTTTTTTTTTTTTTTTTCCTTTTCTAGTCTGTCTGTTTGGACTTATTCTTACAATTCACCTGTACAATAACCTAATCAATCAGAGGGGAAAAAAAAAAAAACTCTCCTGAAGGGTGGGATAAGGGGAGAAGCTGAATGGGCAAAGACAAATTCTCTTGGGCAGAATTCTCAAATTCTCTTTAGCAGGTAGCGTGAAAGAGCTGGTGGCACCCACAGGGACAGGGATATTTGAATTTTGTCCCTTCACATATGCATGTGCTGTGTTGTAAAAAGCCCAGGATTTGGAGTCAGAAGACTAAGAGCCCACTAGCTGAGCACACTGCATTTGTTATTTAACCTCTCTGAGCCTCAATTGCCAAAGCTGTAAAGGGGGAGCCATTGGTGATGCCTGCCTCCTAGGGTGGTGGTGAGGAGTCAGGGAGATAGGGATTTGAAAGTGCTTTGTGCACTGAAAGGGTTCTAGAAAGTGCTGCTGTTAAGGGCTGTGATAAGGATGCAGTCAGGCAGGGCACCCCAGCCAGGAATAAAAGGACTTACGGCCTGGCGTGTCCACAGGACCTGCCACAGTCGGTGGTGTCAGACACAAGTCCAAGTCAAGAGCATGCCTTAGGGCGTGGAAGAATCACAGCAATCCAGCATTAAGGTCCAAAGACCAGAGTCAGATTTATAGGGCCACTGTTGGGAGTAACAAAAGGACAGAGTAGAAGGGGCAAGGGGCTCCCCACTTCAGGGCCCGACACAGATAAACTTGTGAACCAGAAGTTGCTGAGTACGTTCTCAAACCAGACACTGTGCCGAGGATCTAGTGCACATAACTATGCGGGAGCCTCACAAGGACCCCGAGAGAAGATACTAGTATCCCCAATGTACAGCTAAGGAAACTAAGGCACAAGGGGTTAAATAAGTTGCTTGAGGTCAGACTCCAACACACTAGGAACAGTGCCTTGGTTCTCAGCCCCCTTCTCCATCCCAGCTTCCTCCTGTGTGACCGGGTCCCCAGAGGCAGCATGCTCCTGACCTTTGACCTCAGCCTCTCCCCTAGGTGGTGATCCAGGTGCTGGACATCAATGACTGCCGACCACAGTTCTCCAAGACCCAGTTCAGCACGAGCGTGTATGAGAACGAGCCAGTGGGGACCTCAGTCATCACCATGATGGCCACCGACCAGGATGAGGGCTTCAATGCGGAATTGGCCTACTCACTGGAGGGCCCCGGTGCAGGTATGTAGCCTGTCCTGGAAACCCACGATGCCCTGTGGGGATGGGAAGGGGCAGGCTGCCATGCCTGCAGCCCCACGCTAGGAGGAGAAGGACAGGCGGGAACGAGCAGCCAGAGCCATGCCCCTGCTCTCCTGCCCCATCTGCCAGAGGCCTTCCATGTGGACATGGACTCTGGCCTAGTGACCACCAGGCGGCCACTGCAGTCCTATGAGAGGTTCAACCTGACCGTGGTGGCCATGGATGGTGGAGATCCCCCTCTCTGGGGCAGCACCATGCTCCTGGTGGAGGTCATCGATGTCAATGACAACCGCCCCGTCTTCGTGCGCCCACCCAACGGCACCATCCTACACATCAGAGAGGTACTGCTGCCCCCCAGGGCCCCAAACCTGAGCCTCCTGTCCACCAGCATCCCCCTTTCAATATCCAGTCCCCTTCTTCATCCTCCAGTCATGGCCTGGGAGAGTGGAAGGGCCCCATTGTGAAGGTGGGGAAATTGAGACCAAAGAAGGGATGAGATGTACCCAGCACCACACAGGGCAGTACTGAACAGTGGTTAAGTAGCATGGGGTGTGCTAGCAAAAAATTTAGTTTGAGCCCAACTCTGTCACTTACCAGCCAAATGACCTTGAGCAGATTACTTCTCTGAGTCTGTTTTTTCATCTGCAAAATGAGAATAATAATAGTAGATGCCCCATCTCTTGCCCCCAGATGTCTGCCAAGGACAGTCTCCCCAGCCACCCACTTCCCCCATACTTGTCTCAAAATAAACACACATGCCCCTTCTGTCTGTTGTTCCTGCTGATACCAATGAGGACACAGCCTGGGGCTGAGGATAGGCATCAAAATAAAAAACAAGGGGAAGTGGCTGAGGTTCTGGAATCGCTCCAGTTCTTTCATTTCTTGGTCTAAATTGCCACGTAAAGATGAAGGAAGTCTCTTTTGTCTCCTGCCCTTCCCCTGTTTATTCTAGGACAGGCACCAAATGCTCCTTGGTGCTACAGCTGGGATTTCTCCTACTCATTCTTGGCCCCCAGACTGCAGCAGGTCTCTGCATCTCAGAATGCCAGTACTAAGACCATGTTGTCACTCCCTGTCCCTTTGAGGTCCCGTGGGAAAAATATCTCCCAGGCGTGAGCTCTAGGAAACAGTATGGTTTTACCTTGTATCTAGTGTCACATCTGCAATGATTGAGTGGTCCTCTTTGCTTTGCCCACTAGGGAGCTCAGAGTGGTCAGGTCATCTTGAATGATCCTGCAGGGACTTAGGGCACACACCCTGCCTCCCACTCCTCAGCTTCCACCTTCCTGCTAACCTTTATTTTTTTTCTTTGCCCTGAGTTTTTAACATGTTCAATCTTACTATAAGTTACACCTTTTTTGTAAGCTGCTTCAAATCTTTCTTGTCAAATGAGACAGAATATAAATCAACAATAATCTAGTTCTTTTCCACTCCAAAGGCCCCATTTACTAAGTTTTTCCCTCAAGGACCCTGTGTTTGGAAAGATTTATGTCTCCCAAACAACCAGCATTTGCTAAGTAGTTATCTGTTTGTCATCCTGCTTTTTATTAATTAGATGTAACTTCCATTTGGAGCTTCTGATTGTCATGACCAATGACATAAACAGTGAAGCCATCCTGAGCTGATACTTTTTCAACTAAATGCAAAGAAACTTGCTCTCTCTCTCTCTCTTTTTGCCCTGGGCAGCCTTATCATGGGTCCATGTATGATTTCTATTAGATTTTTTTGTATCTTAGACTTAAATCAAGGAAATTCAGGAGATGAGACTCCGAGAGGTGAAGTGGCATGTCCAGTCCACACGGTGAATTAGTGAGAGACTAGAACAATCTCTATCTACCATGTCACCCTGCCTGTGTGCCACCCCCCACCATTTTCAGCTATCCGTTGAGATGGATGGTGTCATTTGGGGATCCCCAGAGTTTCGGTGATCAGGGTAGCAGAGAGCAAGACAGAAAGATGGACAAAGGGTGGCTGTGGTCTCAGCTTCTGGACTCCCCTTCTGTCCCCTCAACCTCAGCATGCAGTGGGGCTGGTGGGATCTGAGGTAACTCCAGAGGGTGGTCACCCTGAAGTATGCTGGGGCCCAGGCTGGACTGTCAGTGGACAGTGGCCTTGGCTGGGGGAGGGAGACATCTAGCAGATGCTCAGACTCCAGGAGAGTCCAGTCAAGCAGCCGGCGTGTCCTAAGCATGCTGGAAGGGGACGAGGACTTTCTGCTATGGGAGGAGACAGAGCAAGCGCTCCATCAGGGCCTGGGAGCTGGAATTCTCTCAGACGCTCAGGAGCCTCCCTCCCCATCCTCACCCCCACAGGAGATCCCGCTGCACTCCAACGTGTATGAGGTCTATGCCACAGACAGGGACGAGGGCCTCAACGGGGCGGTTCGCTACAGCTTCCTGAAGACGGCAGGCAACCGGGACTGGGAGTACTTCACCATCGACCCCATCAGTGGCCTCATCCAGACGGTGCAGCGCCTGGACCGGGAGAAGCAGGCGGTGTACAGCGTAAGGGGTGGGGTCCGACGCGGGGGCGGGGCCGGGGCCGAGGGAGGGGTTTTCCTAGCTGGGTGCAGCGCTCCACCTCTCCACCAAGACTGTCACGGGGTCTGACCTCTGGGAACTGCCCACCTGGGAAGCTAAGCCAACAACCCCCCTCCCCGCTGGCACCAGTCTCCCCCTCTGACTGCGCATCTCCGCCCCCAGCTCATCCTGGTGGCCAGCGACCTGGGCCAGCCGGTGCCGTACGAGACGATGCAGCCACTGCAGATAGCCCTGGAGGACATCGACGACAACGAGCCCCTCTTCGTGAGGCCCCCAGTGAGCTGCCTATCCCCTGCGCCGGTCATGCCCACACAGGGACTCACCAGCCTGCCAACACACACGTGCACACACACTCCCTTACACAGTGCCTGTACGCACATGTGGTTACACACACAAATGTCTGTCTGCATGCATTTCATAGGAAAGCAGATATTTATTGAGCAGCTATTGCTAGGGGCTACCGAGGGTCACAAGAGCAGAAAAAAATGCCTAGATTCGTGGAGCTGATATTCTTGAATTTGCACACAAACACACACACAAGAGGCATGAAAATCATCTGGGCCGTATTGAGCTGGGGCTGGAAGGAAGGCAGGCAGCAGGGCTGGGAGGAAGGCAGGCAGCAGGGCTGGGGGCCTTCCTGTGGACAGAGATTCTCTGGCTTGCTTGTTTTTTCTTCCTGTGTGCACCTGTGACGTGATGTTCTTGGGTGACTCTGTGTGAGTCTGTCACTCCATGGGCTGAGCACCCACCACTCTGCCCAGCGCTGGTCTAGGTGCTGGGGATACTTCTGAGGACATGCCAAGCTCAGCCCTGCTCTCATGGAGGTGTCGCTAGGTGACACTCCTGGGGGATAGAGCTGGCATCTCCCAGCCTTTGCTCCTTGAGGTTACAGCTGCTGTGTTCGCCCCACGATGCCTGGGCAATAAACTCACTGAGCACCCACACGAAGGCACTATCCAGGGCCCCCTGGCAGGGGATGGGAGCCCAGCCCTCTCTTCCTGTGACGACGGCTGCCTCCCCCTGCAGAAAGGCAGCCCCCAGTACCAGCTGCTTACAGTGCCTGAGCACTCGCCACGTGGCACCCTCGTGGGCAACGTGACAGGCGCCGTGGACGCAGATGAGGGCCCCAACGCCATCGTGTACTACTTCATCGCAGGTGGGGCCGGACGAGGCTAGTGCTGACCTACCGTGGGGCTGGAGGTGGCCTGCGTGGGCCCTGACTCTGACCCCATGCCCTGGTTCCACCCCCAGCCGGCAACGAAGAGAAGAACTTCCATCTGCAGCCGGACGGGCGTCTGCTGGTGCTGCGGGACCTGGACCGGGAACGGGAGGCCGTCTTTTCCTTCATCGTCAAGGCCTCAAGCAATCGCAGCTGGACACCTCCCCGTGGGCCCTCCTCAGCCCTCGACCTGCTGGCTGACCTCACCTTACAGGAGGTGCGGGTTGTGCTGGAGGACATCAATGACCAGCCGCCTCGGTTCACCAAGGCCGAGTACACTGCAGGTGCAGGGGCCAGAGCCTGTGCATGGGGCATGGGGTGGGGGGGTGAGTCCGGCCCATCACTTACATCCACTTGCCCACTCCTGCAGGAGTGGCCACCGACGCCAAGGTGGGCTCAGAGCTGGTCCAGGTGCTGGCCCTGGATGCAGACATTGGCAACAACAGCCTGGTCTTCTACAGCATCCTGGCCATCCACTACTTCCGGGCCCTCGCCAATGACTCTGAGGATGTGGGCCAGGTCTTCACCATGGGTAGGGGCCTGGCCACACATGGTGGCCTCCAGCCAAGACCTCAGTCACTGCATGCACTGTAGTCTTGAGGAGATGGAGTCTTTGTGGGCACCACAGGGTGTGGGTGGTGTCCATCCATTCACCCAACCGTGTCAGTTCTTCCATTCATCCACTTGTCCAGCCATCGTTAGTCCATAAGGCTAGCTAGCCATCATTTGTTCATCCATCTACTCTTCCTTCCATCCATTAGTCAGCCAGCCGGCCATTTTTTATCCCTCCCTTCATCCATCTATTCTCTGATTTATCTACTCATCCATCTCTGCAGCTGCCCAGTCACCTTTCTTCTTTTCTTTCCATCCCCTCATCTGTCCATCCATTATTTATCCATCCTTCCATCCATCCACCCATCGTTCATCCTTTCATTCATCATCTTTCCACACATCTATCCATCTGTCCACCCATCCATCCGTCCATCTTCCCATTATCCTTTCCATATATCCTCCTATCTTACCATGTGTGCCCCTCACTGTCCCCTGGAGCAGGCATTGTGCCAGGCACTGGGGAGCCAGAAATCAAAGTGCATACTTGTACCTCTCACCTTACCTCCAGCCCCAACACCTTCCTTGTTCTTCTTTGTTTATAGGAGTCGATTCAGACTCCTTGGCCTGGCATTGGAGGCCTCCCCAATCCCTTTTTCCAGCTCCACATTCTCCTACTGTTCTGAAGGGCCCTCTGCCCAGCCATGCCCAGCTGCTAAGTTCCCTCAGCCTGCTCTCCACCATCCTCCCCTGGGCGTCTGCTCGCCCCCCCACCCCCGTCTTCACTTCTTGGAATACCATTCCCACTCCCATCTCTGCCTTCTGATACCCACTCCCATCCTTTGAAATCCAGTTCATGGGCCACCTCCTCCAGAAAGTCTTCTCTGATCACACAACCAGACACTATTCCTTCCTCCTCTGAGCGCTTACTGCTCTTGTTTTAAAAAAGGAAGGTGCAGAGATGCTAAATAGCTTGCTGAACATCACACAGCTAGAAAGTTGCAGATTTTGAACCCAGGTCTACTGTCTTCTAAGAAAAGACTATGCCGTACCACCTCTGGTCATCACTCAGGTGTGTGTTTGTAGAGTTCTGAAGTGTGTGTGTTTGTATAGTATGTGAGAGAGACAGACAGACAGACACAGAGAGGCACTAAGGGGGCTCAGACGTGTCCCACAGCACAGCACCTCAGCATGGTGCAGGGGAGGCCACTAACTCACCATCCTTGACTCTGCAGCCCACAGTTGTATTTGTTGGACATGCAAAGTATTTAAATAAAAACTTAGGTCAATAGTTTAAAATCAAGGGATTTTGCATAAAAATGTGAAGGTCCGGTTTCTCTAGAAAAAGTCAAAGGTCTGCCACTCCCCGGTGGCAGTCATCAGCCGCACTGAGGCGGAAGCTGCGGCCCCTTCAGACGTGCACTCCTGCTCACTGGTTCCAGTCCACTCTGTCATCTTTGCTCCCTGCTGGGCCCTGCAGCATTTGTGCCCCGAGTTGCTGCAGACCCATGCTGCCCCCTTGATGTGTCCACCTGCCCCAGCCCTTTGCCCCTTCCAGTATTCCCTGAGCTGTGCCCCACCCGCGGGCTCTTCCCGCAGGGAGTGTGGACGGTATCCTGCGCACCTTCGACCTCTTCATGGCCTACAGCCCTGGCTACTTTGTGGTGGACATTGTGGCCAGGGACCTGGCAGGCCACAACGACACGGCCATCATCGGCATCTACATCCTGAGGGACGATCAGCGTGTCAAGATCGTCATTAACGAGATCCCTGACCGTGTGCGCGGCTTTGAGGAGGAGTTCATCCGCCTGCTCTCCAACATCACGGGCGCCATCGTCAACACCGATGACGTGCAGGTGCCCCATGGGGTCCACCCAGGACTAGGGGCAGTGGTGGGAGAAGGAGGGCCAAGTGCAGGCCATGGGAGGACCAGGGCATTGCAAGATGTCAGGAGTGTGTGTGCGTGTGCGTGCGTGTGTATGCATGAGATGGGGTATATGCCTCCGTCAGCCATTTCCTAGCTGTGTGGCCTCAAGAAAGTCCTTCTAGGTCTCTGGGCCTCAAATCCCTTGTCTGTAAAATGGGCTGACCCAGGGCAGGTGAAGCGATTGACACTGTGCTTGGTTCTCAGTGATGATTCAGTAGAGATGGGTTTATTATTAGGGTGGGGCAACAGGGGTTCCTAGAAGAAGCCTGCCCACCCCCTATCCCTTGCCCCTGTCCATGCAGCAATGCCCACAGCCCACAATGTCCCTTCTCGCCTAGTTCCACGTGGACAAGAAGGGTCGGGTGAACTTCGCACAGACAGAGCTGCTCATCCATGTGGTGAACCGGGATACCAACCGCATCCTGGACGTGGACCGGTGGGTGGGGCCCTTCCCTCGGACTGTCCACCTCCCTATCCTGGAGGAGGGGCAGGGACCCACCAAAGGAGGCACAGACAGCCCCATCAGGCCTGCTGTGTGGGGCTCCTCCCAGAGGTGGGCAGGGCTAGCGGAGAGAGCATGGTTTGGGATATAATCTGAGTTCTGCCCCTCTGAACCTTACTTTCCCCATCTGTGAAACGGGAGTTGTAGCTAATGTAAGGATGGAACAGGTTCCCATATGAAGGTTATCAGGAGCCCTGTGAGATACAAAGCTCTCCTCACCAGGTGGGCTTTAGTCTTTTCTTTTTGAACATTTTGTTGTGATTTGGGTGAAAGTTTACAGAGCAAATTACTTTCCCATTCAACAATTTATACACATTTTGTTTTGTGACATTACTTGCAATCCCCTCAATGTGACAGCACTCTACCCACTTCCTCCCTGGGTTCCCCATTTCCATTCGCCCAGCTTTCCTGCCCCTTCCTGCCTTCTGAACTTTGTTTTTGGGCAAATGCTGCCCTTTAGGTCTCTCTTGGTTGATTGTTCTGGGGAGCACGTTCCTCACAGGTGTTACTGTTCACTTTATCGGCCTTCCTATTGTTTGGCGAAAAGGTGATCTCCGGGATTGGGTTCAGTTTCAGTGTTGAAGGGTGTCTAAGGGCCATAGTCTGGGGGGTTTCACCAGTCTATATGAATTTGAATTTTGTTTTACATTTTTCCCCCACTCTGTCCAGGACCTTCTGTTGTGATCCCAATCAGAGAGGTCGGTAGTGGTAGCCAGCCACCATCTAGTTCTTCTGGTCTCAGGCTAGCGGAGGCTGTGTATTGTGTGATCAGTTAGTCCTTTGGACTAATTGTTTCCTTGAGTCTTTGATTTTCTTCACTCTTCTTTGCTCCAGACGGGAAGAGATCAACTGTTGTGTCTTAGATGGCTATTTGCAAGTTTTTAAGACCCCCATCGCTACTCACTGAAGTAGGATATAAAACCTTGTCTTAATGGGCTGTGTTATGCCAATTGACCTAGAAGTCTCCTGAGACTATGGTCCTAAGCCTTCGATCCCAGCGACTCAGTCCCTCAAGGTGCTTGGTTATGGCCAAGAAGTTTTCACAGCTTTGCCCTCTGTGTGCTCTGCTGTATACATGGGTATCTTGTAGAACACACAAATACATATGTAGAAATATCCTCTGCCAGACCTATATGTGCTCGTGGGGGTACGCCAACACACCATCCCACACCTGTTCAGCTTACATATCTACCTGTGTATCCACTCGTAACCTATTGTTATCACGCTTATTGCAGGATTGTGTATGTAATTGTATTCACCGTTGTTGCCTTTTACTCTTGTGCACCTCCCAGTACCTTCCTTTGTCTTGGTCATGTTGTGCTGACCTCCCCCTTATTGTGTATTGCCTTTCCCTTCACCCAAGTTAATACGTGTCTACCGTCTAGTTAGTGATTGTCCCTCCCTCCCCCTCCCATCCCTGGTAACCATCAAAGAATGTTTCTTTCTGTGTGTAAACCTTTTCTTGAGTTTTTAAATAGTGGTCCATACAATATTTGTCCTTCTGTGGTTGACTTATTTCACCCAGCATGACATCCTCCAGGTTCCTCTATGTTGTGAGAGGTTTCATGGAGTCATCATTATTCTTGCACATTTAATAGTACTCCATTGTGTGTATGTACCATAGTTTGTTTATCCATTCTTCAGTTGATGGGCACTTAGGTTGTTTCCATCCTTTTGCTATTGTGAATAACGCTGCAATGAACATGGGTGTGCATATGTCTATTTTGTCATGGCTCTCATTTCCCTAGGACCTATACCTAAGTAGTGGGATTGTTGGATCATATGGTATCTCTATTTCTGACTTTTAAAGGAAGCACCATACGGTTTTCCACAGTGGTATTACCATTTTACGGTCCACTAGCAGTGTATCAGAATTTCCAATCTCCCCACACCTTCACCAGCATTTGTTGTTTGCTGTTTTTTTGATCATTGCCATTATTGTCAGGGTGAGATGATATCTCGTTGTTTTGATCTGCATCTCACTAATGGCTAATGGGAGCCCTGGTGGTGCAGTGGTTAAGAGCTCGGCTACTAATCAAAAAGTTCAGCAGTTCAAATCCACTAGCTGCTCCTTGGAAACCCTATGAGGCAGTTCTGCTCTGTCCTATAGGGTCACTATGAGTCAGAATTGACTTGATGGCAACAGGTTAATGGCTTATGATCTTGAGCATCTCTTCATGTATTTGTTAGCCATTTGAATGTCTTCTTTGGTGAAATGTCTATTCATGTCCTTTGCCCATTTTTTAATTGGATCGTTTGTCTTTTTGTTGTTGAGGTGGTGGGCTTTAATCTTGAAAGGCTTCCAGATGGTGGTGAACTTTGGGAGCTCAAGCTGGGAGCAGGGCAGGCTGGCCTGGGCAGGGCAAGCTCTTGGGGGATGGCTGAGGATGGGAGCTGAGGCCCCAGCCTCTCGTCCAGGGTGATCCAGATGATCGATGAGAACAAAGAGCAGCTGCGGAATCTTTTCCGGAACTACAACGTCCTGGACGTGCAGCCAGCCATCTCTATCCGGCTGCCTGATGACATGTCTGCTCTGCAGGTACCCCTGGCGGCCCACCAGCCCCCACAGCCCCTTGCTGCCCTCACTGCATGTGGAGGGGCACTGCTGCCGGGGCTCTGGCCCAGGTGCCCCACCCACTCATGCCTGTCCCTCCCTCCCCCAGATGGCGATCATCGTCCTGGCTATTCTCCTCTTCCTGGCAGCCATGCTCTTCATCCTCATGAACTGGTACTACAGGACCATGTGAGTGCCCCCACCCTGCCCCACTGCCCGGAGATAGGGCCTGACCTGTCCTGCTCCTGGGACAGCCATGGAGGCAGCAGGGCCATCCGGGCCCCTGAGGTGCCAGCCCGCCCCCCTCACCGGCCCCTCTCTCTGCTCCTCTGCAGACACAAGAGGAAGCTCAAAGCCATTGTGGCTGGCTCAGCAGGTGAGTGAGGGCAGCAGTGGGGGGAGGAGAGGAGGGAGCAGGAGGCACCTCACAAGACTAGGCCCAGCCTCCCTCCACCCAAAGCTGCACGTATCCCTCCTCTTCACACCCCAGCCCTCCCAGGGCCCCTTCCTCCCAACCCTTCTCCCTGCAGGGAATCGCGGTTTCATCGACATCATGGACATGCCCAACACTAACAAGTACTCCTTCGACGGGTGAGTGGGGTCTCCAAGCCCTGTCCTGCCCGCTCTGGGGAGACTGCCAAGGACCCAGCTGGCATGGAGGATTCCCTGCAGGCCCTCAAACGCTGAGGGAACACGGCTGGCTTAAACCTGGTGTGTGGGCGCCCCCTGGTGGGCTGGCCACCGCTCTCTCACTACCGTCTGTAATGTGCTGGGCTCCCTACTCCTGATCCAGCCCCAAGTTCCAAGGGACATAGACTGTGGTCACCTAGTGCAGGGTGAGGCCTTCGCACCAAAGCTGATCCAGACTGGTATGTCCTAGTTCTAGCGGGATCCTAGGGTGGAATGATGCACCCAAAGTTGAAGAGGGGACGCTTTCTATGCCCCGCACCCCAGGTCTGTGAAAGGCACTGCAGTTGGCCAGGAGAAAGGGCAGGGGTTATGGGTGACGCGAGGAAGGCATCTTTCCCCTTGAGCCTGCCCCCTACCCCACCCTACTCCCCAACCCACAGGGCCAACCCTGTGTGGCTGGATCCTTTCTGCCGGAATCTGGAGCTGGCCGCCCAGGCCGAGCACGAGGACGACCTGCCCGAGAACCTGAGCGAGATTGCTGACCTGTGGAACAGCCCTACCCGCACCCACGTGAGCTGGGAAGAGGGTGGGGTGGGGCAGGTCCTTACCGCTGGCCAAGGAATTGGGTTCTCTGGGGGTCATTCTTTGGGGGGGAGGGGGGTTGGGACACGTGTCTCCCTCAGCTAATGTTCCCTCGTGTGTGTGTGTGCGCGTGTGTGTGTGTGTGTTGGGACACGGGTCTCCCTCACCTAATGTTCCCTTGTGTGTGTGTGTGTGTGTGTGTGTGTGTGTGTGTTGAGACATAGGTCTCCCTCAGCTAATGTTCCCTCGTGTGTGTGTGTGTGTGTGTGTATGTTGGGACACGGGTCTCCCTCAGCTAATGTTCCCTTGTGTGTGTGTGTGTGTGTGCGTGTGTGTTGGGACAAGGGTCTCCCTCAATGTTCCCTTGTGTGTGTGCGCGCGCGCGCACGTTGGGACACGGGTCTCCCTCAGCTAATGTTCCCTCTCCCCAGGGAACTTTTGGGCGTGAGCCAGCAGCTGTCAAGCCTGACGATGACCGGTACCTGCGGGCAGCCATCCAGGAGTATGACAACATTGCCAAGCTGGGCCAGATCATTCGGGAGGGGCCCATTAAGGTGAGGACCTCCCAGCAGGCTCCTGCACCCAGACCCCAAGCTGAGCTTAGACCCCAGTCCCAAGGATGCAGGCAGGGAGGTGCTGTCCCCGTCCAGGCTCAGCTAGACCCACTCCTCCACCAGGGAAGAGAGGGTCCTGGGTGCTGGGGCTGATAAGGAGCTGTTTCAGCTGCAGCGGCTAAGGCTGGGTTCTCATGTGTGAGCCAACCTGGCTCCCGGCTGAGGCTTCTCACCCGCTCTGCTCCAGTCCTCTTCTAGGATCAGACACCCGTGCACCCTTAAATTCAGTGACTCGCAGAGTCACCTTCCATCACCTCCATCCAAGTGATGGGGGGGGCAGGTAGGGGAGGGCCTGGGTCAGGGGTTAACCTTCTCCCTCCCCCAGGGCTCACTGCTGAAGGTGGTCCTGGAGGATTACCTGCGGCTCAAAAAGCTCTTTGCACAGCGGATGGTGCAAAAAGCCTCTTCCTGCCACTCCTCCATCTCTGAGGTAGCGGGCCGGGCAGGGAGCTGTGTGCTGTGCCCCAGCCCTGGGGGTGCTCTCTCTCTCTCTCTCTGCTCTCCTGCTGCCCTTCTCGGTGTGGGGACTCGGCAGCCAGGGCCACACAGCAATAGCGGGCGTTCAGAAGTCAGGCAGTGGGCTCGATTTTCTGGGCTCTGCGGGGGGCTTTCACAGGGATGGGGGATAGTGTTGCTCCAATCTGAGGAACCCCAAGAAGATACCTTGGAGGAGTGATGTCATTATGTGTTGGCCTGCAGTAGTTTTAATTATGTCTACATTCAGGCACCAGATTTTATACGAAAACCCAGATTTCTTGCCAGGCCCACCTTCCCAACTGGAATTGGCTAGAGCTGAACAGCTCCCACTTTAGGCAGGACGAAGTCCACCACACCCTGTTAACCCCTCCAACTTCACCTGGGGACACTTTCTATCTGGCCCCAAGAGTGGTGATCCTACCTCAGGCCGAGCTGGTAACAAACCCAGACAGGACTGCATCCCAGAAATTTTATACATCACCAGAACGAACAGAAAACAGCTGCTCGCAGGCAGCCCACACTCCCAAGAACACATCGTTAGCACCTTAAGTATCCACGGTTTCCTGTGCTCCCGATTTGAGAAACACTGCCAGAGGCTGGACAGCCTCCTGCGGTGGGAGCCAGGGTCCCCTGTGTGGGGAGGAAAGGACAGAGGAGGGTCTCCGGGGCCACGCACCCGCTTGCCTCTTGGCACGGGCCTGAGCAACGTGGGGGGGTCCCTGAGGCATAGGGGGCTGGCCTTTTGCAGCTGATCCAGACGGAGCTGGAGGAGGAGTCAGGGGAGCACAGCCCGGGCCAGGGCAGCCTGCGCTTCCGCCACAAGCCACCCATGGAGTTCAAGGGCCCCGACGGGATCCACGTGGTGCATGGCAGCACTGGCACGCTGCTGACCACCGACCTCAACAGCCTTCCCGAGGATGACCAGAAGGGCTTGGGCCGCTCACTGGAGACGCTGACAGCTGCCGAGGCCAGTGCCTTTGAGCGCAACGCCCGTACCGAGTCCGCCAAATCCACGCCCCTGCACAAGCTGCGTGACGTGATCATGGAAAGCCCTCTGGAGATCACCGAGTTATGACTGTAGGGGGAGGCCTCGCTAGTGTGAGCGGTGCCTGTCCCTCCATCTCTCCCGGGGCAGGGCCAGCGGGGTCTGGGTCCCCCACCCCAGGCCAGTGCAGGATGGACGACCTCGGGTTGGCCCCAGCAGGCAGCCCCCACCAGCTGCTCGGACAGATTTCACTTTTATCAGGCGCTCATTCAGCATCTGATCTCCACCTTCATAAAATTTGTTATTTTTTTAAGAAAAAAAATGCTAAGCATCTAAGGACGAGGTAAGGAGGGTCACTGGGGGCGCAGGAGTCTGATGACCAGCTTAGCTCAGGTTGGGCCATAAGAGGCCAAGCAGGGCCTCTTCCCCTCCCCATTCCACCCCCAGCAAGCACACCCCGTCCCATCCCTCGCAGTGCAGGGGCCCAGCGCCGGCACCCCCTGCCTGCCCAACACCTCGACTTTGGCTCATCTCTGCCACATCCCCAGCTGGACATCTAGGCGGAGGCAGGGAATGACCCCTGCCTCCCACATGGACTAAAAGGTCAATGCAATGAAGAGCAGAGCGTCCTCTCCGTTTCATCGGCTTCCCAGACACACCCAGCTTCTTCTGAAATGACTGATGTTCCCCGGGTTTTGAATGTAGAGTGTTCATGTGTATTCCTTTTTTAAATTAAGTTATTCCCTTGATACCTGCTCCTTCATTTTGTTTAACTAGTACTCAACGGAAGTTTTTGGAATGGTCTGTTTAAAAAGAAAAGCAGCTCAGGAGGAACCAGCAGTATCTCTGGCTCTGGTCAACTCCTGTGGCTGGCCTGGGGTGGGAGGACTGGGACAGGGGGACTGGCCTAAGGCTGGCACTGGGTTTCTCTGCGAGGTCATGGGGGGGGGTTTCTTTTGACCACTTCGCTTTCCTTCTCTGGCCAAGAGGAGCTGTAGGCCTGCTGGGCACTAAGGAGGCTGCAGCCTTGGAGCTAGTCAGATACCAAATTCTTTTGGCTGAGGCGTCCCAGAAACACTCAGGCCCAGGTCTGGTGGACAGAACTTTATTGTTAAACCACAGAAACTTTAGTGCAAAACAAACAAAAATCATTAAGTCCATTTACTAGTAACAACATGTCTTCCTGGCTTTGTGTGATGTTGACTGACAACCAGAAACAGAACAGACGCTGCAGCCAAACAGGAGAGGCAGCAGTGCAGCGGCTGAGGCCCCAGGCAGCACCCACTCCCACACCCGGCAGAGCCCTCGGCCTGTCACCCTCCACCAGGAAGCCAGAAGCTTAGGAGCTCCTCATCCACACTGACTGAAAGGGAAGGTCAGAAAGAGCATCTACAGTGGGTGAGGCTGTGGCTGCCGAAAGTGACGGGGTGGTGATGGCCGGGCACACACGAAGCAGGCATGGGGCTGCACCACTGTCACACACTCACAGAAGCCAGGCCTCACAGGCTCACCACACAGAGCTATCAAGTTACATTCAGCCAGAGTTCTCCCTCCCACCCAGACCCACAGAACCCCCAACAAGGCAGCACAAAGAAAAGACACAGGAAAGCTGAATCAGGGTCAGCCTGGGGCAGCAAACCCTCGGACCTAGCCACCTCCCCTGAGCCATCAGCAGCTTCTCACAATCTGCACTAGCACAGTGGGAACTACACTGTTTAAAAAGCCTAACTAGCGTGAGCTTCTGTTCCTTCACATACAACTGCCTTTGTTTTGCTTCTCTGTACAGCAGCCAACAGACCTGGGAAGAGGGCAGGGTCCCTCATTAGCGTGGGTGGAGGCCTCAGAAAGCCCAAGCCCCCCAGTGTCCAAGCGCCTGGCCAGGCTCAGAACAAGGCCCAGGTACAGCAGGTGGACAGCTGTTGTCAGGAAGCACTGGCTCATGCCAGCACCAAGTATCCCTTCTCCACGTCGCCACCGTGCACAGGCAGGCTAAGACCCCAGGACGCAGGATGCCGCTGTCTAGCAGAGAGAAAAGGGACACTGAAGCACTATGTCAGTGGGGGGCAGGTGCCTCCCACACTGACAGCGATGTTACAACAAGAGACTTAAGACATGGGGTGAGGGGAGGGAAGCCTATTTTCAAAACAAAATCAACAGATGTGCGCGTTCATTCCCCCAGCTACAGAAGTAGGAAAAGACGCTGCAGTTTCTCCAGGATGGAACATTCCTTCTAGTTCCACACATGACGTTTGCAATGCTCGACAGCCTGGGAGAAGAAAGGAAACTGGTTTTAATCTTCAGGTGACAGACTGCACTCCTGGTCCATTAGTATCAGACATCACCCAGAAGTAGGACCCACTATATTGTCCTAGGTCGGCCAGACGGCACAAGATGCTGAAGACCCAGGACAGTACCTCATTTAAAGCCTGGAACTGTGGTCACCAGGGTTTTGGGGGCTCGAAAGACCAGAGTCCACAGCAGATACATAGCCCTTCTGTATTTTGCAGAGGAGCACCCATGTAGTGGGGCCCAGGACCCCTTCATTTAGTTACAGCACCCTGCTGGGTAGGATGCAGAGGCCTCCAAGGCAGCCCCTCCTCACCCAATAGTCAGAGGCCCACACAAAGTGGAGCCATGGACATTTACCCACTCAGGGGAGCAGAAGAAACCAGTCCCAACTCTGACCACGGTGGGGGAGGGGGTGAGGCACAGACAGCTGGGACCTGGCTACAGGAAGGAATTGGGCACGGCCAGGGTGTGGCCTCTCTGCCCCTCCCTGCAGTGGCCCAAGACCCGAGGCAGATGTTGTAACCTTCCCTAACAGATACACTCAGCCCCCTGGTCACAGGGAACCCCAGCAAGGAAGAAAAAGTTGCACGAAGGAACATTAAGCAACGGGCCCGTGCAAACCTCTCCACCCAGAAGCGCAGCACAGCCACCCAACTGGTGGCCGCCCGGCACGGCAGCTCCACAGCAGCCAGGCTGCTGGCCCAGCGTCGGCCATTCAAGAGGCGCTCTGGTTGGCTGGGGAGTGAAGACCCAGGCAGGCTCCAGGCAGTAAGTCTGAAGGCCTTGAACAATTCCTGCAGGTGACCTCATGCAAATGTGACACTGTCACAAGGGACATGAAGCAAGGAAGTAGATATATCCCCAGCCCAGATTCCCCAAAGCCAAGAGTGTAGTCAGCCCTGTCTTTGCTGCTCCTTAGCTAGACGGCCATGAGCAAGCCTACTCCCCTCCCTGGGCCTCAGCTTTCTCACCTAGACAGAGGTAGGGGAGAGAGCTTGATCACTAAGCTCCTGTTAAAGCAAAAAGTCAAGAGGGCAGGCTGGGAAGGCAAAGCTGCCCTATCCACAGGCAGGACGGGACCCAGGGCTGCCCTGTCCGCACGCAGGGTGGGAACCCAGAGCTGCCCTGTCCGCAGGCAGGATGGGACCCAGAGCTGCCCTACCCGCAGGCAGGCTGTGGAGCAGAGCTGAGCTACCTACATTGCACTGGGCTGCTGTCTCCATGTTCTGGCACCAGTAGCTCGGGCCCCAGACACACTTCTCAGCTCCCAAAAGAGGCTTATGGGCTGAGGGGCAGGCTCCCACCGTCTATATGGTGAAAAGGGCAAAAGAAGAATTAGATCTGCCCACGTTATCCTTTTTCAAAACTTCTAAAAGCAGGTAGATTCAGGGCTCTGACTTATACTTTAAAAACCCACCTGGCTTGTGGGTAAAGCAATGGGCCTAGAGCCCTAGCTCCCTATCTTCCTGGCTCTCCCACACTCCATTCACACCCCCCTCCCCTGGCCCTGAGACCACCCCACAGTCCAAAAATCTCAAACCCATCCGGGGTCCACGCAGTGTCTCACAGGTCATACCCGCCCGAAAGAACCCACCGCCCGGCAAAGCTTACCAGGCACACCAAGGAAGGGTCCATCACCTCCACCAGGATCTCTAACAGCACGGGCTCATACTGGGTCACAAAGTCATCGCACTGTTACAGAAAACAGGGACAAGGGTCCAGGTCTAGGCATGCCCCAGCAGAGTGGGGTACAATGGGCCCAGAGGGGGATGGACATGCTCTACTTCAGAGGCCCTACAGCCCAGTGGGCCCTGGGGTCTCCCCTCCCAGCTGTCTAGCCCTTACCCCTACATCTGGCCTCCGAGCTCTCATGTTATTTTCGCTCAGTGGACTCCACGCCTGGAGGCAGACATAGCTGGTTTTCCCCTCAAGCCTCCATCAGGATACCATCTCCCTGCCTCTGCAAGCCCCAAGCCTGCTCGGACATTAGGGCCTAAAGCAGCCCGAGGCATACCTGCTTCTTGTAAGGGTCAGGCAGGAAGCTGCAGCCTTTCTCGAGAGCAGCCAGGATCTCCTGCTTTGTGCTGTTCTTCTCCAGGCTGTGATCCAAGTAGCTAACCAACTTCTTGCACACCTCACAGAAGCCACCATCCTTCAGTGGACTCACGTGTGCTACAGAAGAGAGGGCAGGCTCAATGCTGGCAGGGTCTTCCCAAGGCCCCAAGGGGCCGCCACCCCTACCCACCTGGCCCGCTGGGCTCACCTTTCAGAGCCGGCAGCCCCTGGATGGGGCAGAGGTGAAGCATGCTGCACACCAGCTCAGGGCTGGCCTCCTGCAGCAGGATAGACAGGATGGCACTGCCATACGTGTCCACCACCTCTTGGCACTCCTGAGACATGGAGGTGGGCAGCTTTGAGCACACTTTCTCCAAAGCATGGATTATTTCTTCCTGAAAGTCAACACAGAATCATGTGAGAGGCTGGGAGGCTGAGCAAGGGTGAGAGAGTTTAAAAATACTAACTAGGAAGCCAGCTAACAGCACGGTGTTGCTTCTTCTCCAAAGACGAGAGCCACAAACAGGGCAGGATGGCCTGCTCCAACCCAGCCCAGAGGGGCCCACTGGTGGACAGCGCCTTCTAAAAGCTGAGGAAACGGTCGTACATTCTCCCAATCCAGCACCACGGAGGGCCAAACCCACTTCTTCCATTAGGTTCTCCCACTAGGACATTTTGGTTCAAGGACAGGAGAGGGGCATCCCCGTGAGGAGGGCGGTGCAGTCCACATACCTCGGTCCTGTTGTTGTCAATGAGCTTGACCACTTCCTTCACCATGTACTCACACACCTCACAGTACACACTATCCTTCGCCTGGGCCAGGTCCTTCTGTTGAAGGGTGCAAGAACACTTTAGTGTGGATCCCTCGCCCCGAATTCTGCTCCCCCAAAGGAGAAGGGACACTGAGGGCAGGGGCTGGTTACAGGGTACAGTCACACAAACAGTCCCACTGAATTCAACATGATCTGTAGCTTCCTCCCAATGTCCACATTCAATTCCCTAACATGTTTTACGTGGTGAGGCACCTGTCGCTTACCCAATCCCCTACCACCCCACTCCCACGCCGCCTCATACTTTAGAAGACAGAAACAGTGTCCCTGGAACTGCCCACGTGATGCTCTGTTCAGTTTTAATCAGCGTTCATTTTGGAAGCCTTGTGGGGGGGAGACAGAGTGAGGGATTTTAATACTATTTAAAAGACAGAGTTTTAAACACATCTTCCGGTCTGCTCTTTGGGTTTCCCAGGTCTCACCAGCACCTGAGATCGCTTTTCTAGCCCTGCTCAACAGCACTTCCTGTGATAAGGAGATATTCTCTACCTGCACTAATTCGGAGTCGCTAGCCACGTGTCTACTGAGCACGTGAAATGTGGCTAAGTGTAACTTAAAAAAAGAAAAAAAAAATTATTAATTTCATGTCATTTGAATTAAAGTAGCCACGTGTGGCTCGTGGCTACTGCTCCGGACAGTGCAGCTTTACAGCGTAACTCTTCAACGGTTCTTCAGTCTCTGGCCATTAATTAGGTCAGCAGGAAGGATCTGGGCCTGCAAGCACCTCGCCTCGGGAGACAGCAGGTGGCAGTGCTTCCCGGACACCATGAGAAACCTTAGCCCTTCCTGTGGGTCACTCTGTGCACGTGCAGAAAGGACAGAGCAAGAGACAAGACAAGCTGGCTGTCAAGTGAAAGGGGAAGTGTGTCAGGCGAAAAGACGTCAACCTGGGCCCTGAGGAACTAGGACGTGAGTCCCAGGAGCGCAAGGACATCATTTTGCTCACCCATTGTGGCCTCAATCCCTGAAACAGTGCCTGGCCCACAAGGTGTGCTGAATAAAAATTTAGTATGGAAAGAAGTAGGATTTTTACCAAGTGACGGGACACACACACACACACACACACACACACATGCAGGCAGCAATCCCACAGAGGCTGCTGCCCGAGTTTGGGGGGTGTTCTGGGAGTGTCAAGTTTTTACAATGGCTACAGTATGGGGAAGGACCCAGGAAGCATATCGGAAAGGTTCGGCTGGAGCAGACACTTTTGCACCTTGAATGGCATGGTACAGAATGGAGACCTGATCTCATAAGCACTGTAACTCTGGACGGCTGCGAGGTACGTGGGCGGCCATAGGCTAGAGGTTCAAGCTCAAATGCCTTTAGGAGCCAGGCAGGAAACAAAAACTGTGAAGGCGGAATGTGACACACTGGAAGTGGTGGGACATCAGCCGCCTCTGCAGTCAGAATCAGGACCATGCCGTGACACCTGGTACCTTAATGGGCTCCACCAGTTCCAGGGCGGGGATGACGTTCTCCATGGCCACCTTGGCAGGAATCAGAGGCTGCATGGGCATCTCCTTCAGCTCGTCGCAGAATCCAACCAGCCCACAGATCTCCTTGGGTTGCTGAGGACAGCATGCGAGACCCGTCAGGTGCAGGCCTGCGCCCTGCCTCCCCTCACCCTACTCTCTCCACACAGGTGGGGGGCAGGGAACAGACTCCCCAACAGATGGGCAAAGAGTCGGCATTAAATTTAAAGGAGCAGTTACACCTGGAGGAGGGAGCCCAGAGAGACCCACTATCTCTGCTGCTCCAACCAGGGGCATCCGAAGGAAGCAAAACTGCCCACACCTTTAACGGGCCACTGGAACATCTTCAGGGATAGCTGGTCTGCTCTAGAACCTGTTTTTCAGTTGAGCTGGCTCCCTCTTGATAGGAAGTAAGCTCTAGATCCTTTCAAGAGGATGAAATACTATCCCCATAAACTGACAGCCAATTTCAGAGGCAGAACCATTTCAACGATGCATTCAGGGGAAATGATGACTTTCTAAAAACCATATTCGATGTTCACAATCCCACAGTCACAGTATACATAAACCCCGATTCTCCCAAATCAGTGAATCACTGCAATTCACAAGGTCCCTGGATTGATCCTCCTTCATTATCGAGGCACCAAATCAGAGAACTAGATCGTTTGGACAACATCTTGACCATTATACTGTGATGACGGCCGAGAGAAAAAAGTATACATACTTTGTATACTTTGCAAACCAAAAGCAACCAGCACCCCAGCTCTGGGCCTGGCAGCACTCGCCTCCCACCACCAAACCATAAAGCAGTGGGGACAGGGCCGCTCGCGAAAAATGAGACCTGTGACGGGAAGAGAGCTAGACCATGACTACAGTTCCTCGTTTTAACACCTAAAGGTGCTAGAATTAAAGTTGGGGAGTCAAGAAGGTATACCCCAAGTAACCCTGTCTTTGCCACGCCTTAAGAATGAAAAAAAAATAGAGTGGGGTAGAAGAGACAGCAAGTGTTTTAGAAAAAAAGACACCAAGGTTCAGGAGGGCTGTGGATGCTTCGTTTCAGGATCAGCTTTGTTCTACTGAAGGAAGACACCTAAGGAGGCCCAGGTGAAAATTCGGGTACTTTACCCAAAGTCCTCTCCCTTTAGACTCAAGATACTTTGGGAAAATCTATAACCTAGAGACAGATGGCAGTGCTCAGAAGGGGGCAATGCTCAGTGTGGCTCCATTAAGCATTCATCAGATGGCGGAGCAGGCAGGGCCTGGGGGCTCCGTTTCTGCGTGGTGAGCTGATGGCCTGGTCATCGAGCGGTCTGGTGTGGCTCCCAATCCCACAGATCACCCCATCACCCAGAGGAGCAGAAGCCACAATCAAGAGATTGTCTCCAACTCTCTGGATCCAACAGACAGGGGAACTGTCTGTTCGCTCTTTGCAAATTACTCGCTCATGCAGCAGAAGCATTTCTAAGAACAGGACTGAAGGCATGCAAGGCTCACTTGTTGTGACAGACACAAGGTGTCCCACTGGAAATCAGGCCCTCTGCTCAAGAAAGCCTAGGCTCCCTCCAGGGCCCACCATGGTTCCCCTCACCACACAGGCATGTTGACCGTGAACTCTGACCAAAGCCAGAGGCTCTGCTGGCTTATCCACCCCGAGGAGGTGAGACCCCAACACCCGGAGTTCTGGATCACATGGAAGAGATGAGACGTTGCCCGCAGCCTATGAACACAGAGGGAGGGACCCTGCCTTTCCCAATCATTCCTTGTATCTGTCAGAGCTGATCGTGCCAGACAAAAACAAGATGAGCAAAATAACTAACAGAAGCAGCCGACCACTACTACAAGCAAATTCCCCCATCACATACCTGGTCCTGCTGTTGAGAATAAAAAAAACAGGAAATCGGAGGTGAAAATAAGAGAAAGGAAAGGACACAACAGTTAAGAAAAATTAAAATAACAACAATCAAGCAATTAAACAGGTATAAGGAGGACACGCCAGGGAAAACACCCTGGCAGTCAGGTATAAGCAATCTACCTGTTCCTACTAGTGTATCATGTGGACAAGGGCTTCTGAAAGCTCTGGGCCCAGCTGGTGCATCATCCCCATGTCCCTGACACACCAAGACCACCAAGTCACACTCGGAACACTGGGCGGCAGGCCTCCCTCCCCAGAAACACTAAGAAGGGGCTTCCATCCTCAGAGGCCTGACCTCACCACACCTGCAAGGCCTTCCCCTCAGAGTAGTGATGAGCAGCAAACGGGAGACGCACGGCTGCCCAAACAAGGAGCAAGTGTCACAATTATATAAATACACCCAGAGGGGTCTCTGTTGCCCGAGGCCTCATGGCAATCTACCCCAGGAGGCCAAATGCCAGCCAGGAAGGAGGATATGACAATATAGCAACAGCCTTAAAATCTGGTTTCCCTTTTATTCAGCAATTCAGTCTTAATTCTCTATAAACCTACTGCCGTTGAGTCGATTCTGACTCACAGCGATCCTATAGGACAGAACAGAACTGCCCCATAGGGTTTCCAAGGAGTGGCTGGTAGATTCAATCTGCTGACCTTTTGGTAAGCAACAGAGCTCTTAACCACTGCACCACAAGAGCTTCTAGTTATCTATACTAAGGCAAAAACAGGGATATACATATACACTTGGCTATAACGATGCCCATGCCTTCTATTCCCACGGGCAAACAACCTAAGTATCAAATAACAGAGGATTGGCTACATAAATTATGTTCCATCTGCATGGCAGAATATTATGCAGCCACTTAAAAATGATTTGGCAAAGACTGTTTAATGAGCAATATATCTTCAGGCAAAAAAAACAAGCTACAAAGTACACGGTGGTATATGCAATATGACCCCATTAATGTTTTTAAAAACCCCAAATGATTTCTGCTTTGGGAATTATTATCCATATTTTTTTTAAATTTCTATACAGATAACTTTTATAATGAGAAAAATATTTTTAAGTTAGGTGTAAGGAAGCCTTAACTAAATCAAGCCACATCAAAGGCTTATTTTCCCCTACTTTAGGCACAGGTCTTTTTAAGATGCCTTTAAACACTGTGGGCATACTTTGTTCTAAAAAGTGTGAAAAATAATCCCAAATAAACTCTATTGTATCTAAATGGATTACTTCAGTGGTTAGACCAGGGGTCACTAAACTTTTTCTGTAAATATTTAGGCCTTGTGGGCCATAAGGTCTCTGTAGCAACTACTCAACTGTGCTAAACAAATGGGTGTGGCTGTGTTCCAATAAAACTTTATTTACAAAAACACGTGATGGGCCATAGTTTCTGACCCCTAGGTTAGAAACAAGCTCAAGGACTGAGGTCAAAGTCTAACTTCATACTCTCTCGGGTTCAGAGAGCAGTCTGAACTCTTGATAACTTAAGGACCTCTGGTCACAAAAGATTTTGCTGAGAAGCTCAGGACAAGGGCATGTCATCTTGTGGATATGTCACCTTGATCTAAGAAGGCCAGTTTATTTTTCTGTTGTATGGATGCCTTCAGAATGCCCTGCTCTGTACAACGGTTTTCTGCATGAGGCTAGCTAGCTTATGAACAAGGAACGTGATCAATACTCTCTACCTCTGATAATGAAGGAACGCCTCCACCACCTGGATGCATCAAAGTAAGTGCAGGGGCTCAAGCAGCAACTACAGCTAATACTGCTGCAGTACACAGGGCCAGCTCTAGGGGCTGAATCCTCCTCCAGAACTCACACTTGCTACAGAGCAAACTATTTCTACAGGTCCCAGGGTTAAAGCCAGATCCTAGAAATCTCATGGCCAGCTCACACGTACACAGGCAAACAGACCACCAGGAAGCCACCATGGCAATCCTGGGGATCCAGCTGCTTCAGCCTTTCCCCTAGGAAGGGGCAGGTACTGAGACTGCAAGGAAGTCGGCAGGTCAAAGGGGGCTTGTTTGGGCCCAATTCAGTAACCTTGTGGTAAAAAAGGGGCAACTAATCCACACGATTTCCAAACTTCCTGGAAAATACAAAGTTTGAGACAAAGAATAAGGCTGAAAAGGGGTTTCTCCTACCACCTACCATATGCATCATCATTTGGACAGCAATTTCAGAATACTGGTTGATGTAGTTCTTGCACTGGGGGGAGAAACAGGTTGTTAGTTAAACTAATCACTGAAACCAGACACAAAAAAAAAATACAAAAAAAAAACCCAGCATTTCCATCAGCAGCTGTTAACTATCAGGCAAGTTTCCAAGACAGGACTAGGTAAATGTCTGTTCTGGGCAAGTTTTAGCAACAATTTGGTTATTCTGTAGTTTTATCATAGGAAAATGTGTGCAATATGCGTTTTGAAAACATTTTCAAGGCCATTTAATGGGATCTCACACATTATGTCCCCCAGTCTCCCTGTTTTATGGCCACACTTGTCCCAAGGTCATACAGCAACTACTGAGTAACGGTTAACAGGGAATGTGACTAGTCAGTAGAGTGCTTAGGAATTACTGCTCAAATCTATTACACAATCTTGGTCTGGATTAAGGCTTAAATCTGACAGAACCACGTTATAATGATTTTTAAAACTGCCTCTTTTCATACAAATGAAGGTAGTCCCTGAAGCACCTCACAGACTAGCTCGTCATGCTTGGGGCACCTCTACAGGGAGGGAGCCAAAGCGATGGCAGGCCTCACAGACAGCGAAACTGGGGAAAGGAATTAAAACAGCAATATGCAAACAAAGATACCTGAATAAGGCTAAGAGAGAAGTCAGTGGCTCCCAGCCTGTCAAGTATCAATATCTCTAGGAGTTTACGTCAACAGAGGGGAACCTTTGGCTCCAGAGCCAGTCATTCCCTCCAGTAAAGGGAAGAAACATTCAACTTGCTCTAGATCCCAGACCAGGGAGCTATTACAACCACCTTCCCCACCTTCCAGTCTAGCAGAGGGTTCCGAGTGTCAAGTACCAAATTGGGCATATGGGTTTTACACATCAATCTCACGAGCGTAGTTAATGGAATAGGCTCCCAAAAAGAAAACCACCTAAGGTGCTAACAAAGAGTTTCTGAGCCTATAGGACTAACATTTGCCAAGGTAATGAAGGCTTCCCAGGTGAACCTCCTGCAAACCAGCCTGCCAGCTTCCTGTGGACAAGAACCCTCCTACTTGCTGCAGGGGGCACATAACCTTCCAACATAAAATCACGAGTACAGGTCATATACAACAGCCAGTCTTAAAAACAGGGTTATAAATGGTTCTAGTGTTTCTTATAATATGGTGACTGGGAGAAGAAAAAAAAATCTTCACAACAGCGGTTTTGTTCCATTATTTTGTGGCCAAAATTTTGCTGCCTAACAAGTTTCAATTATACAACAAAGTATTTGAAGTAGTCACTACCTATTCTGGCTGCTTTCTGGAAAAAGGACAAGGGAGCTGTATGAATGATCTTAACTTCAGTTAGGTCAGAGCTTAAAATGGTACCTCAGGAAGTGGTGGGTTAGATTTCTAGGTTCACCCCCATGGTCTCCCTGGCCCAGAACACCCTCCAATGCATGAAGAGGTCAGAGGTTTACCACGTCAGCCAAACCAGGCCCCAGGCGGTCACACTCCTCCTCGACATGATCCACCAAGGCCTTGACAAAGGTGGAGTTGGTCCTTACAGCAACCTGGACGTCAGTCACCAACTGAACGCAGTCCTGACAAACGTCCCCATCAGCCTAGAGAGAGGGGGGCGGTTAGGCTGTAAATACTGCATGCTCCTACAGCAACTAAGAGGATTCAAATTCCTAGGAAAATTTCCTTACATATCCACATTCACACTACCAGGGGGTGAGTTCAAACCAGCTCCTAATGTGTTTTTACAGGCTTTAAAATTATTGACCGGTTTAAAATCAATTGGGCGCTCATTTTTAGTAAGACTTAGTAAGAAAGGGGAAAAAATCGTTGTCTGTTTTGGAGATCCCATTCTTCAGAACCTCCAGAGTACAATACTGAAGCCTGGCCTGTGCGCCCGCCTGCAGAGTCAAACGCAGGCCTAGGCCTCCAGCAAGCTGTGCACACTGAAGCCAGGCCTCACTGCCCCTTTTCATGTATCTCTAATCCCACCAGAAGCAGGGCCCTTGGCAGCCTGGCCCACTGCCTTACCTTTGGCTGGGGCTTGCTGTGGGGCCCCTCCTGAGGGTAGAGGAGAAGGGGGATATTGGCCATGAAGGGAGCCACCACCTGGGACATGTCCAGTTCGGGAATCTTATTGGACTCGAGCTGTTTCTGGTGATTCAGCTCAGCCAGGTGCTTCTGAAGAGACTGGCAGAGTCTGAGAGCGGAGCATACCTCCTCAGGCCGGCTCTGGTGGGGAAAGAGGTCCAGCTGAAAACTCTCTCCCAAGAATAGTCCCTTCTCTTAAATCCCAAGAATAAACATAAAATGTTTTTGTTCAAGTTCAAACTGCTCAGTATACCTGAGAAGGAATAAAAATATTATCTCCACTCACATAGACTCTTCTTCCAACGTGACTGGCTTGGAGAAGGGGGTATCAGCAGTTTTGGGCTACTTCCTTTCTCTCCCTCCCTCCAACATGAGCTAATGCAATCCACCGGTTTTAAATACCTTCCATATGCTGACACCTCCCAAGGTTACTTATCTCTTACCCTGACTCAGGAGTCCCTGGGTGGTGCAAACTGTTAACACCCTTGGCTGTTAACCAAAAGGTTTAGAGGTTCAAGTCCACCCAGAGGCACCTTAGAAGAAAGACCTGACGATCTGCTTCCCAAAAACCAGCTAATGAAAACCCTATGGAGCACAGTTCTATTCTGAGACACATGGGGTCATCGTGAGTCAGAACTGACTTGACAGCAGCTGGTTGAACTGATACCCTGACTTACATACACAATTGCACCTGACACCTCAAACTTAACACATGCAAAATGAAAACCTTGATTCCACTCCGCCCCAAACTCCTCCTCCTGCATATGCATATTAGCAAATAGCTCCGTCATCTGCTTAATTCTTCCCTCTCTTATACATCCCCCTCCATCAGCAAATCTAGTACATTTTTCCTCCAGAACAGAATTTGCACCTGCCCATTTCCACTGTCCCAATCACATCTCACTTAGATGCAATAACCACCTAACTGGTCTACCAGCTTCCCCTCAAAAAAAAAAAAAAAAAAAAAACCACGCCACGGAGTCGATTCCGACTCATAATGACCCTATAGAACAGAACAGAACAGAACAGCCCTATAGGGTTTCCAAGGGGTGGCTGGTGGATTCGAACTGCTGACCTTTTGGTTAGCAGCCAATCTCATGGGACCTAGACCATAGCCATGTTAGTCCCCTCCTTAAGAGCCTCCAAGGGCTTCCCGCTGTATCTGGAATCCTTAAGCATGGCCCTGAAGGCCTTGTATGATGTGATCCCTGCCCACCTCGCCAAAACCTTGGTCCCACTGAGTGACACTCCTGCCCCCCTACTGGCTGTCTCAGCTCTTCAAACACTTCCTTCTTCTCAGGGCCTTTCCTGATTCCACAAAGTTGGCTCCTTGTTCATTGCTAAACACCCAGCCTCGGGCACACTGCTTGTGCCCAAGAGACACGTGTTGACTGAAAGATAAATATCCTTGTAGCTGAACCCAAAAGTGCACTCCCTGAATTATTTAAGATAAATTCACAGAAATAAAGTGAACTGCTTGCTCAAAGGGACAGTTAAAGATCTGACGTGAGTTATCAAACTGACATCTATATGTTTACACTCCCTCAGCAAATCCAAAAGTTCCCACTTCCTGCACCCTCACCCACCAGGAAAAGCACATTTTGGCTAAAAACCACTTGTCCATCCTCTTGCCCTGGAAGAGACAGACTTTCACCCAAGTTCCAAGCAAAGTGTTCTGCTGTGCCAGGGCCATCTCAGATGTCAGAACCACAGTGGGGAGCTGATAAGGAAATAAGAATCTATGAAAAGACTTTCTATCCTATCCCTCTAATCTGGCCGACACCTCCCCTGGGCCCCAGAAGTGCCTTAAGGAAAGAGTGCTCTGCCATCTCCTACCATTTCTCCTTTAATCATGTCCAAGATGACCGGTAAGTAGGCGTCCACTATCTGCTTGCATGAGGCAGTTAAGTTTGGATTACGAAGCCATTCACAGGTCTTCTCCAAGTTTTCAAGGATCTCCTCCTGCGAGAGGCGAGGGTAAGAATCAGGATGGGCTGCTTTCCTGCAAGTGGACTGAGAGCAAGAGGCCCTCCACGGCTCCCAGAAACACAAGCACAGAAACTGCCAACCCTCAGGGTAGAGGGCAAATGGTTGGCCCTGGCTCCATCCCATCAATTAGGCAAAAAGTAGACATGAAAAATTCAAAATAAAGACGCTTTGACCTGCAGTCTCACAGGCACAGGTCACTGGGAGCAGAGATTATCAAAAATGGACCTAGAAGTTAACAGCATACAATAGAAAATCCCCATTAACCTTATGCATTTAACAGTAGTCCAGAAGTCACCGTGATTAAGTATAGCTCGAAGCTAAGAATGACTTTTACATTTTTAAAGGGTTTAAAAAGAAGAGTATGTGTCAGAGACAGTATGTGGCTCACAAAGTCTAGAACATTTACTATCTGCCCTTACAGAACAAGTGTGCCAACCCCTGGACCTGTTCATTCCTCGTTAGCGCTCGAGTCACAGCCCTTTTAATGAACCAACGCACGTGGCCGTCACCCACACAAGCCTATGCACTGCAGCTCACCTCGGTGCCATTGCCTTTCAACATGCTGCCAGCTGCCATGATGACGTCTTTGCAGATGTCACAGGGAAGGGATTTCTAAGAAGGAAGAACATGAGGGAGAGGTATTTGTATTTGTAGGACACAATTCACGCCCCACACAGATGAAATTAACCACCTTGGCCCTTTTCATATTTTACATAAACAGGGATATATGATCATGGCCACGTTCTACAAGGACCCACATTCTGACCCACCCTAGTTCCCCAGCCCAGATGAGAACCACTAGGCACCAAGAGGGAAGGACTAGGTGAGATGTACCAGAATACTCTGTGCTTCTGGAAGACAGACACGGTTCTCTGGTACCCTCTACCCCTCAGTCCTTTACTTAGTATATATGGTACAGATCAAATTTCCTATTTAATCCTCACAACAACCCTGAGAGGAAAGTGGCGTTCAGAAAGGGAATGGCTCAATGTCACCAAGAGTAAACAGTGGGGGGAGCTGGAGGAAACCCCAGCCAGACCCCCGGTGTTTACCCGCACTGTGGTGGCACTATTTACCTGCACTCTATCTATCTTCTACCCCTCCACCTTCTGCCCCTCAGGCAGTGCTGGGACCAAGTTAAGGCCAGATAGCCCCACTCCAAAACTTTTAGAGACATTACTCCATCCATCTCCTGATAACCTGGATATCAGGGCCCCACAGGGCCCAGAAGCCATGGAATTCTAGCTGGTTGTCCCAGGTCTTGGGCAGGAATACACCCATCAACAAGTTCTCAATGTCAATTGACTTTTGACCCATGGATAAGGAACTGACATGTCTGGACAAGATAAGAGACATCTAGGAACTTGGTGGCATTTAGAAAAACCAGTTTGAACCTTTTAACTTCATCAGACTAATACCCTGCGTGCATGGGGCCATACCAAGAGAGACTAAATCCTATCAAACAGTAAGATTCAAAGTTCTCACTTGACACACATTAAACCCGGAAAGAGGTAGTAGTAGTAAAAACAAGAACGAAAGCAAATTAGAAACCAAATCTGAAGGTAATTTCGGCCAAAGACAGCAGTTTCCCAGTAAATTCAGAATTTGTTGTTAAAAAGCACAGTGTTAATTACGTATTCCTCTCTTACTGAAGGAGTACTAGTAGCCCCTGACAACTTTCGAACCCAAGCTCTACTCAATCAAACATGGCCTGTACCATTTGTTGGTCAGCAGGTTAAACATGTCCCAGAGGGAGCCAAGAGCAACATTTCCATGTGGCTGGCACTGCTGGCAAAGCTTTCTCCCAAGAGGGCTCAGTCGTGAAGAAAGCACACTAGGTTTTTGTCATCTTGGAGAAAGACCCGGCGATCTGCTACCATAAAGATTACAGCCAAGAAAACCCTCTGGGGTATTTCTACTGTCACACGAGGTCGCTACCTGTCAAAATCAACTTGACAGCAGCTAACAACAACAGAGTATGTCCCGCAGGGTGTTAACGACCCCACATTAAATTTCCCTCGACCTTCAGTAGATGGACCTTAACCTCTGGGAACAAAAACACTGCCCAGTCCTGCACCATCTCCATGATTGGTTGTGGACTGGACTGTTGTGATCCATAGGGTTTTCACTGCTGAAACCTGTTCAGCAACACGCAATCCTCCACTAACAGAAGGGCAGTGGCTGTGCCTGAGGTGCGCTGACTGGGAATCAAACCTCGGGCTCCAGGATGGAAGATGAGAATTCTCCATTGAACCACCACTGCCCCCTATGCACATTAAATTAATAAACTATATTTAATTTTTAATAACACAAAAATCATCAGTGGTATCTTTCCCAGTTTGGCTATAGCTGGAAATAAGACTTTAAAATAATAGCTACTAAGCTCTAGGGTCTGAATCAATGATTTGCCTGGGGGCAGGGACAGAAGGGGGTGGTGGGAAGACAAAAATTAAAAAGGCCTGGGCATATACAAAGGATGGAAGGGAGCCTGTGTGCCAGCGCTGGGAATGGGCTCTGCAAATCTCTGTGTCCCTTACCCAGGGTGGAGAAGTCGGCTCTGCATAGGCCTGAAAGGCATCAGAGAGCAGGCACAGTGGCTGGCGTGGCAGGACCTCATAATCTCTGCCACCAAGAGACTGGGTGACCTTGGGGAAACGGACCTTAACCTCTCTGTGGTAAAAGGGGGGCACCCACTGACATGCCCTGCCTCCCTCACAGGGACACTGGGGTGAGAGAAAGTGCTTGTCAATGGCAATGCGTTTCATACACTATAACAGCATCAGGTGGAGCACAAAGGGAACCCCTGAGAAATGCTGGGGGCTCTGAAGCAAGGACTCACCACTGTTGGCTTGTTCCAGACAGTCTGCAGACAGTGCTTCACGGCCCCACAGTCGGCCGCCGTCTTCACATCCTGGCACCACACTGCCGAGCCTTTGCTGCATTCTTTGAGGCCGAGGACAGGGCTGCCTAGAGCTAAAAGGAAAACCAACGTGAGGAGGTGGCCCATTCAACACATCAGGTCCACGTCACTCCTTTACCCTGGGTTAAGGGTTAACCAGTTGCAGTCGAGTCAACTCCAACGCATGGTGACCCCAGGCGAGTCAGAGTAGAGCTGTGCTCCACAGGGTTTTCAATGGCTGATTTTTCAGAAGTAGATCACCAGGCCTTTCTTCTGAGGCACTTGAGTGGACCTGAACCTCCAATCTTTCAGTTAGCAATTGAGTGTATTAACCATTTGCACCACCCAGGATTAAGGGTTAGCCCTGGCATTTCAGGGGAACACCCAAGCTTGGCCTCTAACCCAGTTGTATGAAATGTAGACCACACAGTGAATGGCACTGCTGTTTCGATCAAGAAGTTGTGTTGTTATATAAGTCTCAAGGCTGAAAGGGACTCATTTATCTGATGCACTTTTCTTCCTCTCCAACTATATTTAAATGGTATCAGAGACAAGTATCAGGCCTTTAAATCTTTATAATCGCAAAAAGATTTCATGAGGTGATAAAAGAAATTATAGGAGAAAAGACTGAAAGATTGGACTACAAAGATTTCAACTTCTCAAGAATGAAAAATAGCCAGAGTTAAAACAATCTGTAGCAAAACCACCAAAAGATTCATATCTCTATTAAACAGAACAATGATTCTTGAAGGTGTTCAAGTAGAAGAGCACTTTAAAACATCTAGTTGTACTGGACGAATCTCTTTTTGCGCATGAACAAGTTTGCTAGCAGAAAACAAGACTATGTACAGCCACTCTGAGACCACAAAGTGAGCATGTGTCTACTGGAAACCAAGTGAGTGGAGTTCCATCGACTCTGGTGGTAAGGAAGGACTCAGGCAGAAACTGGATTAGGAAAAGATACAGGTGAAAGGTTCAACTTCACCTGGGGCCAAAGAAATACAGGAGGTGACGTATTTTGAAATTTAAATTAGCTAAGGAAAAAAAAAGGTTTTAAAAGTCCTTAAACTGAAGAGTGACAAGTTGTAGTACAAGTCACTCTTATAAGGCAGTGTGACTGGAAAGAACGTCTCAAAAGAATGTATTTCAAGAACAAAAACAAAAACAAAGAAATCCTTTCTTCATAAAAACACTGCTAGAAAAACATTTTTAGGAAACACAACAATTCAAAAGAGGTAAAACAGGATATGGACAAGTATTTGTTGTCACATACAATACTAAAGGATAGATGTATTCTGAACAGCCAACACTAAACCCATTGCTGTCAAGTCAATTCGGACTCACAGCTACTCTACAGGACAGCCAGAACTGCCCCATAGGGTTTCCAAGCAGCGGATGGCCACGTCTTTTCACCTGCTAACCAAAACTAGAGGAGAAAAAACTAATGCCATTCTTACTGAGATACTATGTAGCTGTTAAATATAAAGTAGCGAACAGAAAACTAAATTCAAGAAAAGAAAATGAAAGTATACAGGGGTTGCAAAGACAAAGGTCAGAAGACAATTCACAAAACAAAGCAGGGTAGTGGCTGGATTCTAACTTTTGTTTAACTCCCAATGTTATGTTGTATGTATATAATTTTATATATAAATATATTTTTCAAACTGCCTTGAGAGTACCTATGTTTCTTAAAACAGGTCCATGGTTTCCTCAATTCTGAAACAGAAAGTTGAGGGGAAACCCTCAAACTCACACCTCACCAGAGACAGACTATTAGATAGGAAACAACAGGCTGCATGCGGCTACAGCAGATGCGAAGGTCTCCAGAGGCAAAGTACAGCAGGCTCACAGGAGGGGTGAATCGACTTCAGTTTGTATTTCCTTGTGTCCATTCAAAAAGGAAAAGCACTAAGCTATCACCATTTGAATTTTAAAGCACGATCAAAAAATCTACTTAGCACACAGTTAAGTTCCTTTTAAGGGACAAATGAGAGGATTTGGCCAGCTATAAATAGGAAGCATTTAGCCCCACAGCCACCTAATATTTTTAGAACCTCCAGAGTCACACTGTAGGTTGTTTCAATTTTCAAGCCAAATGAGAGGGAACAGTGATTCTATATATACATGCAACACACACAATATATACACATGTGTATGTAGGTAGTGCCCTCCCTCCAGGAAAGGGAAAGAAATGAAAGGCTGTCACTAGTAGTTCCACAGGGTCTTCACACAAAGACCAAGTCACAGGTCCCCAAAAAGCTAAAGGCAGATTACCTGCGCCTTTGCAGCACGGAGAATGAATTATCCATCTGCTGCGCAGGTTATGGCCTTCCTTGCCCTTTTTAAGCAAAATCACAACCAGCTCACAAACTGTGAACTGGACGCCTTCCAAAAGCAGTGGTTTGGCCTCTGGTTTCCGTGGGAAAATGTGCCAGATTCAAAACAGTACTAAGCTCCCCTGATGGCTCACAAAAGTTGTGTTAACCCATAAAGTAGCCAAGCTATTATGGTGCCAGCCCTCAATTCCAGGTCGGGGGCAGGGCAGGGGGGAAGCGCAGACATTGTGTCTCTGGGAGCCCCAAGACCTGGTAGCCTCCACCATGCTCTCTCCAGCCCCAGGCCCCCAGCAATCCTGAAAACCATCTACCAAGCTACACAGCCTGGTTTTACCACCAAATTAGGAGGAAGGAGTCCAAACAATGGGCAGGAAGCTGACAAAGTGAGTCTCTTGGAGAACCAGGCAAAGGACACACACCTCTCCAGTGATACACAGGGAAGCCAGGAAGGGGATGGGATCAGGTATCAGCAGATCAGAGACAAGATGTAGGGTTCCACAGGAAAAGCAGGGCCTAGTGAACAGTCCTTTCTGCTATCCTGCAGCTGCCCTGCACAAATTCGGACCTCCACTCTCCATCTTTACACAGAAGTCTTGGTCTTAGCAGGATCCACATATTTTCTCCAACCGTCCCTGCCGAGAAATGGATACGACTGACCACAGTCTGTTAGGTGTGGGGAACACAGGTCATACCACAGCCCTAAGCAACAAGAATGCTTTGTAGGTTGTTTATTCCCTTCTAGGAACTTGAAACAGTAATCATTTTTAGTAGTGATATTGTTACTTGTTTCGGCCAGGCTATTCTGGACAAAAAAATAATCTTGGCAACTCCTTTTATGTGAGATTGGTCTCCCTAGCACTAATCCAGAACAGCCATTCCTCAACCCCAAAAGGTTAAACCACTCACTGGTCTGTTGTTAATGTTGCTGTGTGCCATTGAGTCGATTCTGACTCTTAGCAACCCTACATGACAGAGTACAACTGCTCCAAGGGGCTTCCTAGACTATATTTATAGGAGCAGATTACCAGGTCTCTTCTCTTGCAGACTGGCTGGTGGTTTCCAACTGCCAGCCATTCAGTTAGTAGCCAAGCGCTTAACCACTGCACTACCAGGGCTCCTAATCACTGGCCTACTGAACTAAAAAAATAAAATAAAGAACGTGGTAGCAAGCCTCTACCTCAGAGCTAGAGGAAGCAAGGTATGTCACGGTGGTGGACATGGCAGAGCTATAAAGTCATCAGGTGTTCAAGCCTAAAAGAGAGTCCATGGACACTGAGAAATAAAATATAAGTCCTAACTCTTAGAAATCTAGTTCTAGACATCACCAGCTATCTCCAACCTAAAGTCAAATTTATAAAAATGCATATTATAAAATTGGTCTGTGAACTGAAGGTATACAAGAGACCTGATTTCCTAAAATGAGCCAACATATATTACAGAAATACCTGCATGGCCTCAAGATTGGTACAAGTCTGAGGCACAGCCTGGGAGACGCTGGCAAGCTACCTATGGAGGGGTATACGCACTGATTTCCAGAGCTGATCTCTGGAGAGGGAAAGATGCTCATCTGTATCAAACAGTGGAGCAAAACTTTTTGGGGTCATAGGTCCCTTTCCCAAAAAATGTATTTATTAGACACAAGATTCTCATACCATTTCAGGGTGTTCTCAGGCAGTCCACCACCTGTATGGGACACTAGTTGTGGATTACAACACAAAGCTCTGGAGATAAGAGTGATTCTTCTCCACACAAGTGGATGAACAGGTTAGATGAAGGCACGATTATCAATTCCATGGACTGGGCCAAGTAGAGAGCCTATGTGCGGGAGACCCAAGTGAACAGGCACAGGCTCGCTTTGATCCCCAAGAGTGGGACGCAGACACCTAAGTAAAGGTGATGTGCTATGATGTGGTAATAGAAACACACGGTGAACTGTGCCTGGGAACAGCAAAAAGAATGACTAGCCTTTCAAGATGAAATTTGAACTGGCACCTGGAAGATGGAGATGCAAAAGACTGACTGATGGAGACAGGGTGGGGGAATTCCTGAACATGTGCTTAGGACAGCAGCTCTCTTTCGCAAAGTGGAAAGTTGTCCTTTTCAGGAGAGGGGCAAAGGGACGTGGTGGGAGCCAGGCTACAAAGGCAGCTAGAGCTCAGGCACTGAAAAGGACCTCACCTGGCACAGTCATCCCCAAGTGATGGATTCATTCTGTGAGCAACATTACAGGAACCACTCGGGATTTCTGAGCAGGGACAGGACAAGCAAGCTCATGTTCATGTTGTTAAGACACAGATAGCAGTGTGGAAGGTGACTTGAAAGGGAGGTGGGAGATGACAGTGATGGTTACACAACACTGTGAATGTACTTAACGACACTGATTTGTATACTTAAAAATGGCTAGAATGGTAAATCTTATGTTACGTATATTTTACTAAAATAAAATAAATTCAAACATAAGGAAGTGGAAAACACGACGGGGAACCTAACTGGAAGTCTAATTCAAACATGCCCAAGCAAGAAATGGTGACAGCAAGGGATGAGAGAGGCTAACAGAAAGATTCCAAAAGAACGAGACAGGGATGGATGGATGGATGGATGGATGGATGGATGGATGGATGGATGGATGGATGGATGGACGGACGGATGGAAGAAAAGAACAAAGGAAGGAAGGAAGGAAAAGGAAGTTAATAGGGTTAAATGCGAAGTCCTTTAGGCTAAAAGAGATAGCAAAACAG